ACCCCCACCCCCTTCCATATACCCATACATGTCGTTATTTACTTTCGTTATAGTCTGTTAAAAAAGGAAGGATAGAATTTGCTGGGTCTTAATGTTAATAATAAATATTTCTATTATATATTGTTGTCAGTTTTAGAAATCGACTGTTATCTGTAACTTTTTACTCTAAAAATGCCTTTCTGGACCTTTGATCTCGGTGATACAATAGCCAGTTCTATGTATTCAATCAAATACAAAATAATTTAGCATGATAGTAACATCCTAGTAAATTTTCGTAGAATTATCTCGTATTGTAAAAATAGCTGAAGTGAAATCCACCTTGACCTACAGATACTAATATTATGGTAAAGAGTACCACTACACCAGTTTTAATTGTGTAGAAGAGTTCCACTCAAGACTTTTGTTGATTTGGAGAATTCGCCATAGAAAATGACAGACCTAAAGGAGTTACTTTCTGGCTTAAAATTACTTCCCCTGTCATGTTTATCATTGGGTTTTGTGGCCCATAAATTGGACACTAACTTGATGCTGTGTCTGTATAATTCCTCTATGGCAACATTGGGAAAATGTAGGCTTTACCATGTAAAGTGTCCAAGTTCGACCCCTACAGTTTTCTTGTTTTCTTTTTTTATTTATCTTTTTTCAAATATTCAAATTTGGAACAACTACAATTCTGTCATGGCAACATGTGATTTTTATGAAACATTTCTTTTTAAAAGGACTAACATAAATATTTACAATTGCGACATTGGTAATAACAAGTAAAACACAACATCCTCGATACTCCAGGGGTTACATCCTCTATACTCCAGGGGTTACATCCTCGATACTCCAGGGGTTACATCCTCGATACTCCAGGGGTTACATCTTCTATACTCCAGGGGTTACATCCTTGATACTCTCCAGGGGTTACATCCTCTATCCTCTCCAGCGGTTACATCCTCTATACGCCAGGGGTTACATCCACGATACTCCAGCGGTTACATCCTCTATCCTCTCCAGGGGGTCCATCCTCTCTACTCTCCAGGGGTTTCATCCTTGATACTACAGGGGTTACATCCTTTATACTCTCCAGGGGGTACATCTTCTATACTCCAGGGGTCACATCCTTGATACTACAGGGGTGACATCCTCTATACTCTATTTACAATTGCGACTTTGGTAATCACAAGTAAAACACAACATGTTCGATACTCCAGGGGGTACATCTTCTATACTCTCCAGGGTTTACATCCTCTATACTCTATTTACAATTGCGACTTTGGTAATCACAAGTAAAACACAACATGTTCGATACTCCAGGGGTTGCATCCTCTCTACTCTCCAGGGGTTTCATCCTTGATACTCCAGGGGATACATCCTCTATACTATCCCGGGGTTACATCCTCTTTACTCTCCAGGGGTTAAATCCTTGATACTCTCAAGGGGTTACATCCTTTATACTCCAGGGGTTTCATCCTTGATACTACCGGGGTTACACCCTCTATATTCCAGGGGTTACATCTTCTATACGCTCCAGGGGTTACATTCTCGATAATCCAGGGGTTACATCGTTGATACTCCAGGGGTTAAATCCTTGATACTCTCCAGGGGATACATCCTTGATACTCCAGGTGTTTCATCTTCTATACTCCAGGGGATACATCCTCTATACTACAGGGGTTACATCCTTGATACTCCAGGGGTTACATCCTCTATACTATCCAGGGGTTACATCCTTGATACTCCAGGGGTTACATCCTCTATACTCTCCAGGGGTTACATCCTTGATACTCCAGGGGTTACATCCTCTATACTCTCCAGGGGTTACATCCTTGATACTCCAGGGGTTACATCCTCTATACTCTCCAGGGGTTACATCCTATATACTCCAGGGGTTACATCCTTGATACTCCAGGGGTTACATCCTCTATACTCTCCAGGGGTTACATCCTTGATACTCCAGGGGTTACATCCTCTATACTCTCTAGGGGTTACATCCTTGATACTCCAGGGGTTACAACCTCGATGCTCTAGTGGTTATGCTCACTCTGCACCCTTGAATATGACATAGCAATATTGAAGGTTCAGTGTGCGCCACCTTGTGGATGAGACAAGAACACTAGTTTGATCCTTTGATGTGCATCAAAAGAATCTGTCAGTCACGTAAAAAGAAAATGACTGGCTTTGAAGTCTTACTCCTCTGTACTTTCTAAAGGACAAGTGTCAGTCTAGTGATTAGTCAAGTTCTTTTTACGAAATAGCTAGCTGCGTGCCATCAATATTACTATGACAAATTCCAGGGGTGCAGAGAGCAAAAGTGAGCGTAACCACTAGAGCATCAAGGATGGGACCACTACTAAATATGTGACAATATGTGAATAAATAAAACCTACCTTGCTCACTGTAAAACGATATGACTCCAGCAGTAATACAGGCGGAAGCTCCTATCATGAAGAAAAACAACAGGCACTTCCTCCTTCCAAATCTGTAGAGTTCAAATGATTTGGATGAAGTTCATACAAAAAACTGGAACTAATATGTCATGATTCATTTTATGCAAAGATATCCAAGACTTTTAACTTTAGATTTAAGGTCAAACCCCTCACCCCCGTTGCTCAAAGGTTAGTTAATGTTAACCTGTGGCTAGGGGAAATTTTAAATATCAAAGCAACGAAATTCAAAGCTTCTGATATCATTTCACTTCAATAGATTTGTTGAGACAAGACAGAATGATATGTTTAGAAGGTTTAATCTTCTTTGAAAGCCCTTATTTTTAGTGCCAACGATAATGTTACCCTAGCTATGATCAACTGGGTCTACATACTTGCTTACTTTTTGAAATTTCCATGTGGGGAAATTACGCATGCTAGGAATTAAAAGCATCTACAAAATGTGTGTATGTACACCCAAGGAAAACAATAAGACTTTTAAATGGCATCTTTTGAGCTGTTCTTTCAGAAGAAATCATCAGATCTTAGAAAATAAGAATAGTTTGGCATATTCACTGGTTAAAAATGCTCCATTTTAGGGTCTGAAATCAGGAGTCTCCCTCAAAAATAGGGGGAGTTGGCAAGTCTCTGGACAGTCTCTGGACAGTCTCTGATATATTTGTCTACTATTTCCTGACCATTCATCTCTTGGACAGTGATGGTTCAGCGCTACAATAAACTTCTGATAAAAAATATGACACCAATGACCTCTGACCTACCATATGATGACCTCTGACAATCTGTTAGACATGAGTGACCTCTGACCTACCGTTTAATGATGATGACTACCAAGATGAAGGCCACCAACTCCACTGATCCACTAGTGGCAAAGTTGAAATACTTGTTGCCAGGGAGACTTGTCACACTTAGGGACAGGCCATAGTAACCAACGGCAACAGCAAACCTGGAAACATCAAAAAAGTTATTGATCGCAAACAAATCAGTGAGTAACTTGTCTTGAGAAACAAAAAAGTCAAAGTTTCTGTAATGAGATAGTGTCAGCTGCTGTCAGGTTAAAATTACATACTGTGAACGTACATATTACAATGGTACTAATTTAAGTGCTTTTCATGTTTTAATTCACTCACCCCTACATATCTAAACTGGACTTGCCAAGTCATTGATTTGATAAGTTTCAAATGTGAATTTAGGGGTGAAAGAGTTAAACATTATGCTAATTTATCCTTTCACCAGTGTAGGACATAATGGACTCATCCAGCTCCATGCATGGTAAAGTCTACATAAGTTATGCATGGGTGAAAAAGTTTAGTTTCTGTATATAGCTTTCCATTGCATATATCGTGAGTGCACCAATTTGTCAATGCCCTAATCTGTTAAAACCTGATAATAGGTTAAAATTTGTGTCCACTAAAATAAGTACTCCCACAATTTTCAATGTATAAAGTTTGTATATAATTATTGCCGTCAGCCTTGGTTAACTGTAATATCTAAAGCATTTGACTGTGAGCTAGCTAATGTGGAATTACCCTGTACACTGTAATAATGGACCAAGAGGTTTTATATCCATGTATAGTGTTGACAGTAGCTTATAGATAAATCTTCTAAATGATTTCTTAAAATAATTGTATTAGATATTGTGTTAACTTGGAACAGCCTTTGATGAAATTGTTCCTTCTTCACGTTGTTATCGCAAGTTAATTTTAATTTAATTAATTTAATGAAATTTATTGGTAGATTCTGGTACATGATTTCATATCCTATACACTCAAAACATAGTAACTGTTGTAAAGTTTTCTTTGTTTATTTGTTTATTTATTTTATTTATTTACAAGAATTACAAGCTATTGTTTTGTAAATCAAAAACAAGCTGTGATTACCAGAGGTAGAAGAGTATAAGGCTTCGTGCTCTGATTCTGGGCGTGGCCACCAGGTCCATGAATGTGTACTGGCGTACAGACAGAGCATCACTTTTGTCCAGATGGAGCCTTATATCTTCCATCAGCTGGGTTGGGTATTCCAGTTTGTTGAACCGGGCCATTTTACTGATCCACTTCTCTGCGTCATTGAACCTGTGTCTGGTCAGTAACCAACGGGGTGATTCAGGAATCAACCTGTTAAGGGAAGCAAAGAACATGCATAAGATTCAACTATTAGATTAACTTATATATTAAATACCTTATATTTATCATTCATTTATGTGAGCCAAGTAAAAAAACACCAGTAATTGCTGATTTAAGTTTTAGGGAATGTGCTGGTTACATGACAGTGAATAAGCCGCTGTTGGCATTTCTACTGAACCTTCTCTTAAGCCGAAGAATGTTTGTGTACCCTAGAGACATCACGTCACCCAAAGATCACAATCTGTCAGGTTGATAAATGTTCATGTCGTAAATGGGGTTACAATCGTATAACACTATCTACTGGTGTATGGGAAAGCTGTTCGATGGGTATTCCAAAATGCGTCGTTGGTAACTGTGTGATGACAACTTGATAACACAATTACTCAACATTGCGCCACATAGAAGAGATGACCAGACATCATCAATAGGGGAGTCTCAGCAAATCTAATCCAGTTTACATGTTTCGGCCCGCTAATTTGGCCACATCAGAACCTGATTACGACCCACCTTGTGGACTGAAACATGTAAAATGGATTCATGCCTACTAGTATCAAAATTTGTGTGATAGATTTTTTTCACTCAGAATGTATATTAGTTTTTATCTAAATAAACAAGTAATAAAACATGGATACTGTTTTCACTATATGAAGATGTTCATGTATGGGTTGAAACACAATTGTCTTTGCTTCAAGGATACACTTTCGGTTTCCCCACTGGAACGAAAAAAATTAAAGGCAAGGTGTAGCAAGGGGAAGCAACTGTGTTTACGAATGCATGTGTTACCATTAAAGAGCTTCGCTATTGATGGATTCTGGTCATCTCTTCTTTTGAATTTCGATTACTCTTAGGGCCAGACTAGTGAATTTCATTTTAGAATCCATCAACTGGGGTACACAGACCTTCACTGAACATCCACTAGGGGACGTTGGATATCATTTGCTACACTGTCACATTGATATTCTTGGTCAAATACCATTGCCTTTTCTTCCCAGACCAGAGCAATATTTCATTGTCCACCTCAGAAAATTCTTTTAACCTTAATATTCCGGTAGTGTTGTATCAATAAGCAATCATGATGAATATTTATTGGTTCACGAGTTAAGATTACAATTAATTGTTAATTGATATAATCAATTAAAAATAAAATTTAACAACATCAAGGGACTTGAGATTTTTATGTTTTATACAAGTATTTGTGAAAATGTGGTAAATTATATTGAGATTTAAATCGCTATCAGCAGGTGTCTCTTGGCCTGGTATCCTTGGAAACAAAAATTTAAACTCAATAAAATTGACGTCAACCAATTATATGTGATCTGCATTAATCACGTAACTCAAGCCAATTCCCATTACAATATTTCAGTATACACCTTGCCCTCATCACTGCGGAAGTATCCAATAATTACCGGTTTGCCAACATTGTGTCTTACCAGAAGTAGGGAAGGGCCAAGAGGCTGGGCAGGGATATAGCCAGCTGTATGTATCTCCAGGACTGTAGCAGGTAGGCTACACCAGCTAACGTCACCACGCTAACACCCCAGTAACACTCCAGCACAGCCCCCGCCACTCCTCGGTACTGAGGCAGGAAGAGTTCCATAGCCAGGACATAGGTTGACGTTTGTAGACCCTACAATATTATGTTTATAAGATCATACTTGGAGAATAATAGATTTGTTGAGTGTATTGTAGTACTGTTTGTATTTTTGAGAGACTCACCATTAAAATTGACAATATATAGAACTTTTTAAGAAAGCCTATGAGAGACCATCTGTCTTCAGAGATCAATTCTGACAGGCATAATTTAATTACGGCATAATCTTAAGGCAAGTTCTAATGTATAACTGTGCTGGTTTTTATTGATCACTGAAAAAGTCAGTCTCATGTTCAAAGTCTTGATTCTGTCCCTCTGGCTAATTTGGAGATATTGGGTTGATATGTTGTAGAACATGTACATGGTTCTATTATAACCTTTTCATCATATACTATAAAGTTCTAAATATTTGGAATGAACTTTGCCTTTATTTTCTGATTTCTTCTTCTTCTTCTGGTTTTCTGAATATGAGTCCTTGTTTTTCTACCAGAAATGTTGGTGAGAGAGTATCATCTTACCTGCATGAATACTCCCTGTAAGAACCTGAGAACAATGAAGAGAATGTAGCTGTTGGAGAATGAAATGCCGACACCAATAAGGATGGGGACATAGAGGGTTAAAAGCATCACTGGTTTCCGGCCGAGTTTATCAGCGAGGATACCAAACACCAGTCCTCCCACCATTACACCGGAGAAATACACTGTCGTGGCAACCTTAGCCAGGAAGGAGGAGTCACACACCAGGTCCCACTAAAATACAATAAGCATGTGTCTTAATGATCAAAGCGTACATGCCAATTCTCCCTATTTAGGATGGAGACTCCCGATTATGGACCCGTAAATTTATTATTTTCAACCGGTGAATTTGCAAAACTATTCCTATATTCTAAGATCTATTGATTACATCTGAAAGAACATCTCAAATTATGTCATTTTCACGGGTTATTTTCTCTCTAGGGGGTACAATACACACATTTTTTTTATGTTTTAATTTTGAAAATGCAGGATCTCTCCCATGAAAATTTCAAACAGTTGGCAAGTATGTCAAAGATGTGTCCCAATGAATATTTACGTGTCTGAGTAATTCATTAAATGTCTTAATAATTTAGGTATCTTAATAATCATAGATTTGTCTCAATAATCCTTTACGTGCATGAAAAACAATTTATTAGTCTTCATAATCATAGATACATGTCTTAAGAGTCATTTATGGGTGTTAATATTAATAATAATTATAGATGTTTCTCTATAACCATTTACAATGTAAGTGTCTCAATAACCCTTTATGTATCTCAATAACCCTTCATGTGTCTCAATAACCCTTCATGTGTCTCAATAACCCTTTATGTATCTCAACAACCCTTCATGTATCTCAACAACCTTTCATGTGTCTCAACAACCCTTCATGTGTCTCAACAACCCTTCAAGTGTCTCAATAACTCTTCATGTGTCTCAATAACCCTTCATGTGTCTCAATAACCCTTCATGTGTCTCAATAACCCTTCAAGTGTCTCAATAACCCTTCAAGTGTCTCAATAACTCTTAAAAATAAAGTCTTAACTGTTATGTTATAGGTACCTAATGTTTTATAACTAGAGGGTACTGTGGTGTTACAATTAAAGTGATGCCATAAGTGAATATTGACCTGATGTTACTAAAAATAGTCAGACCGAGTCAATATCACAAATCATCAACCTCCATGAGATTATGAGCGATGTTGGGAAAATGTGTGTCGTCTAATACTGCAATATATTAGTATTGCAATATAATTCCTCACCCCTAATAAATACTGTACACCAGGAAATGTTTACCCCTTGATGGTCAAATTCATTTTCGTCCAATATTAAATTCCCCGTTTACATTTAATCACTTTGTAAATGAAGTTGTATACAAATGCTTACTATAATGATAAATTCGCTCTCATCACGGAGGGTAAAAAAGGTGAAAATTAAACTGCAGACATCATTTCCCAGTATACAGTATACCTATATATATATACTGACCTCTGTCACGATGGTAGACTCCTGCTGTTCCTTCACATACGTCCACTTACTCGCCTCCTTTGCCGCACAGCCAACCGACATATTACCTCCGTTTTGGAGATGGTAGGTACTGGCACATTTTCCGAAGTCCACACCAACGATGGTCAGGTTACCTGCTCTGTATGCGTGTGTGGTTACCAACGAGAAAAGCCCTGAGGGAGCTGGAGGAGGCTGGAGATCGGGGCTGGTGCAAAAGTACACAGGAGTAGAACCAAAGAACGCCATTACCAGGTGATTGAAAGTTACAGGTATGTAGTTAAAAGCCAGGAGAAGAAACACGCAAACTTGGTACCGTCCCGGGTTTCCAAGCTGGCTCATCAGTAACTCCATTGGAATCTTCATCTTGTCAAATCGCTGGAATCGAACCACCTCTTTATATTATTGGGATGAAAACTATCTTCAGTAGCTTATTGCTCGTCTCCTTTGGTTCCCCCCTCAACACTTGCTGTGGTTAACCCGACTCCTGCGGCAGTGACGGCTGTAGATTATCCACTTCTTTCATTAGTACATGGTGAATACCTCAGTTAGTACCTGAAACAACAAAGCAAATAGTTGGTTTTGATAGACAACATTTTGTTGATGCCGCTCAAACTCACACTGTTACCGTCTAACAATTAGCAGTCACCTAGACACCCCTACCACTGTCCTCCAGAAAAGGCTCCTAAAATAAACCCTACAATACTTTATTCCTTTGACCTTGTTCAATAAACTGAAATTAAAACACTGTATATTGTAAAACTGTAGTGTGTAAATCTTTCCAGGCTTTAAGTACCCGAACGTTTCTCCCTCATTTATCTATGTGTGTCATCAAAGGACAAACCAGTAGCTCCATCCCAAGTTTTAGAGTCGTAACTAAGTTAGTCATCAGAGAAATGGCGCATAGAGTAATAATGGGTTAGATCACTGCTAAAATATACATGTTTCACAGTACTTCAAATTTGTTAACAGCTTGAAGAACATTAAATTCTAACAGATGTTGAATATTAGAATTGTAGCAACAACTGTTACATATTATACACTGATCTGATAGTGTACAGCGTGGTCGTACGTCACATTTATGTGAGAGAAAAAAAATATATTGTTGAATTTGCACGCAGAAAAGCGAAGATAAGATGATGATATTGCTCTTTATCATTCATATTTGAATAATTGAATAATATTTGAATAATTGTTCAATTTACAAATTTGCATTTACTGAAAAAAACAAAAATAACCTAACAGCCAGTCGGTAACGAAGCATTGTGTGGCAATTTCTTGGGTTGGCCACATCTTTCTTAATTTACTTACATGTTAATATATATATTTACACTAAATAGAAATAGATCTTGAACTGCTCTCCTCATTCTAAGTTATATATATATATCCTCCTCTAAAGGGCAGTAACCCACATTTGCCATACTGAAATAGTGTCACCACTAACGTCAATGGTTTTCCAAGTCTTTTAATTCAATTCTTTGAAGAGATTTTTCAGAAGATATTTAGTGATTTGATACTTAGATTCGTAGAAATTGTAACATTTTGTATATCTTTAGTTTTAGAGACCAGATTAGACTGGACAAGGCTTTGTCAGGCTGAGCAAACATATAAAAATGTCATGGATAAGCTTAGCTGTGGGAACTGTAGCTTATAAGGTCCTAACTGGTCGATTTTATAAATTTATAAATTTTATATTATCGGACCTTAGAGTGCGATAATGTAAACTTACAGAATAAAATAAATTCAATTTTTTGGACTTTGAGCTATGGTTCCGGCAGATAGGATTGGTTATGCATGCACAAGTTTTTCCGATGGGCATGATGTGTTAAAATTTTTAATAAATTTGGTGTACATTGTACTTTACAAGGCGTACGTAGTCCAGTCATTTTTGCATCTACAGACTGGGGGTACATAACAAAGAGAAGACAGAAAAACACTGAATGTCCACTAGTCACTTTCACCGAGTTCTGTTCCTTCTCCTATGAACAAAGACTAATTTTTAAAGGGAAATATTGATGGTGCTATGATACTACACTGTAGAACCATGAACAGACATGTTAATGGGGACTCTGAGAGTTAACTATAGCAGGCGTTCCCTTAGATGCGCCACTCACAAAACATTGACATTATTAATATTGTATATATATATGATATGTGTGTCGACTCTGTCAAACCTGAGAATATTATAAAGGTATATACACCCTGACTTACTACACATCATTGATTTCTGCTTCATACTAAAGATTACATACAACGAGTTATGCCTTTCAGTACAGCAATACTATAACGGTAAACATGTCCCAGATCCATAAATTTTAATAAAAAATCCATTTTCCAGGACATTTAAACATGGACCTTCAGTTCTATACCTTTGTGCGCTGTCTTCGGTCGAGTAAATAGCTGCATTGATTTTCCATAAAGATTGATCAATTTCGTGTTAGCACTGAAATAGTGTTGCTATCGATATATACATTGTCATCAATGTAGTTTTCATGGCTGGATATTGGAGAAATATAAAACTTAGACCCTGTGTATTAGAAAATTTAAAATATGTTAAAAACACCTTGCTTCCACTTTGACTATCATCAACTGATAAATGTGATTTAACACACAAATATAAAAGAATTTCTTGGTCTTAAACCTTAATGTACAAAAAGTAGGATCTTGATACAGGCTAAATGAAGAAAACGGCATTGAACAAATATGGCAAAATATGCTCACACACCAAAACAATAATTAACGTTTACCTGTGCAAAATTAGGCAAATTTTAGAAAATGTCAATAAAAATAATTAACAAAATGAACAGCAATAATTAGTTTTTGAAGTATCTACATGTCTGTGCCCAATTAAAACATGTTCCGATCTTACCTGCTTCTATGAGATCGTCCGAGTTCTGTAAATATTCAGTCCCGAGATTTTCACCTGTAAGTCATTACAAATATTTACATTTCTACCTGTAGTATATCTTCTGTGTCATATTACAATAGATCATCATCCCGTGGCTTATTGTACCTGTATTCGTGTCTGTTGTAAGTGCCTGACATACTAAGAGCTGTCTTTCCCTTTCCAGATTCTCCTTATAACTATGTAAACCCATTTGTCTGACCTACAGCTAGCACTTCTACCTGTCTGTAATGTCTGTATGTAATTTCTAAACATATATTTGATTATTTATGTCCTTTCCTGTAATTTCATGTACCTGTCATTTCACATACCTGAGATTTTTACCCTTCTGTCCCTCTTCAGTGCCCCAATCCTACCTGTTTTTGTTTATGTCCCAACTTAATTTGTTTGTCCATGGCCTGTAATTTCACGTGCCTGAGATTTTTACCCTTCTGTCCCTCTTCAATGCCCCAATCCTACCTGTTTTTGTTTATGTCCCAACTTAATTTGTTTGTCCATGGCCTGTAATTTCATGTACCTGATATTTTTACCCATCTGTCCGTCTTCAATGCCCCAATCCTACCTGTTTTTGTTTATGTCCCCGAGATTTCTATCCATCTGTTCTTCCTAGGTGTCCCAATTTAGTTTGTTTGTCCATGGCCTGTAATTTTACTTCCCAGAGATATGTCCATATGCATCTCATTTTTTAGAGATAAGAATGTGTATCTAATGAAATTTTCATAGAACAGACTTTTACCAAGAATGTTTTTACTTAGTTCATTTAGTACTTTATAACATACCCAATGTAGGAAATAACATCATAGACACCTTGGTCTAATAAATGATTCCCATAGACCTACAGTGCTTTTCATGGTGATTGTCTATGGGTCTACTTCTGAGTTTTAAAACTGCCATCTGTCCCTCAGTCTTCACTCCTCAGTGTCCAAATCCTACGTTGTTTTAATCCACACCCTGTAGCTTTATGTCCCTGAAATTTCTACCCATCTGTCCCTATGTTACCTGTTTGTCAGTTCAATTCACATGATACAGAATAAATAGTCACTCGAGATTACCGAATGTTTGTCACTTCCCAGTTTTCACCTTTACCAGTTCAGATATAAAGCTAATTAGGCTAAAAGTCATTTGCATACTAAGTTACAAATATAGTATTCAATTATTTTTTTTCCGACATACATGAAATATCAAATTAACTGATGTTATCACACACAATTTGCAGTCATATTTGAAATTAAACACCTTTCATGACTTATTAGCTAAGGATGGCTCATAAAGTCCTCATTTCTAATGCAGTTCCTAATTATCTGTTCCTTTTCATCAGTCCCCTCTTTTCCAGTATGTCAGAGTCAAGATCTGAGTCCCTGAAATTCTTACCTGCCTTTCCCCTCCCTGAGAAGACCCCCCTTTTACCTGTACACAGCGTACTCTATAACAGCAAGTCAGCAAGATTCCTTAATTCTACCTGTAAGTATCCCTCCTGATCTGTTACTATCTCACCTGTCTGTCAATCTGCTTGTGTCCTGTATCAGAATGTCCCTGAGATTCCTACCTGTACCTGTCCCCTCTTCAAGTAGAGTCTCATTTTATTGTAACATGTATGTCCGTCAGCACCCTGTATCAGAATGTCCCTGAGATTCCTACCTGTACCTGTCCCCTGCTTCAAGTAGAGTCCCATTTTACAGTAACCTGTATGTCTGTCAGCGCCCTGTATCAGGACATCTCTGAGATTCCTACCTGTACCTGTCCCCTGCTTCAAGTAGAGTCCCATTTTACAGTAACCTGTATGTCTGTCAGGGCCCTGTATCAGGACATCTCTGAGATTCCTATACCTGTCTGGTACTCTTNCCCCTTCATCTTCATCCCCCACACACACCCCATCCCAACCCCATCCTGTCCCCACCCCCATCCCCACAGTAATATCCCAGTTCTTACCTCAGCCAGTCACTTGCGTCCTCTTACCTCGCTATTCTGTTTTCCACGTTATGATATATACAGCCACTACACTACTTTCTATTGATTTCTGTTATTGATTTAATAGTTAACGGTCTGTCGTCACATGCTGCCGTCACAGCATACTATTTATAATCAGTTTTTAATCAACATTCCTCTATGTTTAAACATGCCAAAGCCATTTAAACTGAAGTAACCCATGGCCACTTCTAATATAACTGTGAATGGATTACAATTAATATATAGGAATTAATTGATTATATTTACATTATAGAAAATCCACAGTGATGCATAGGCCTAGCTTTGGGTTTTTCAATACTATGTAATAGCAGAAAAGCCCAAAGTTTCATTTATTAACTCCAAATAACAGAAGAAAAACAAGAGTAGGAAGAGATTGCCGGACAAACAAAAGTTTACGTCGGTTGGCCGGACAACGCCATACCATAATACTCCCGTCAAATTTGAGGGGCGTATAAAAATGCAACAGCCAGACTGGGATTCTAACTCAGGTCCTTTCAACTCTAATCATTCTCTCTAACCATTACTGAGCTACCTGGTCACCTGGGATATCGATTGAATCTGTTTTACAATACCAACTCTTCTCTGTCAACAATTAGTCTTCAACCCCCAAAGGCACATGAGACCCTTAACAACCTTCCATGAGTGTTTAGTTCAGCGCCAAATGTGAGAAAGAAGGAAATACGCAAGTCAGACTTAAGCACTCGAACCAAGAACCTCTGAACTCTAGACAGACGCAACAACTTACCAGTCAGCTTTACCTGGTGATCAGTGACAGTCTAGTAATCCACCACATAAACTACTAAAGCTATCCTAGTTAAGTCTCCTGACATATAAATTTACAGTCCACACTGACATTCACTAAATAACCATTCTTCCCGCAAATTAGATTTGGCATTTCATAACCTGACCATAGAACATGACACTGAGTTTCCATGACATTGACAACAATATACATAGAGTCCATATATTATAGGTAATAAAATATCACATAAGATAACTTGCCTACTCATGATCAGAGAGTCCTGAAGTAACTCTGAAAACCCTTTACTTAACTCATTCACCCCTGCAATTTTATAATGAACTATTCCATCCTTGAAATTGGAAGAGTTCAAATGGGTCTTCAGGGGTGAATGAGTTTAAGTTAAATAATACTTCCTTACGAAATTAATAACCACTTCCTGAGTTTTGTCAGAGGCAACCTTTTCCAATCCTGTAATGCGTCACGTCAACATTAAATACACAGCATTAGACTGATCTGTTTTTAATGTTTAGCTGAGCTGTTAACAATTTCATATATGGGAAACTATTCATGGTTGACTATTGTAGGCTTAAGCAAGTGACAATAATACATTTATATATATCCACCTGCAGGTCATTCCATTTATAGCAGATTTAGTTTTGACTTGAACATACAAAAATACATGACCTCTATTTAATCCTGTTGACGTGAATTGTGGCAGGTAACCAAAATGAGATGTTAACATATTGTAAACACTAGCTAGGCCTACTGGGTCGCATTGTTAACATATAGTAAACACTAGCTAGGCCTACTGGGTCACATTGTTAACATATTGTAAACACTAGCTAGGCCTACTGGGTCACACCAAATGTTATGAATGCTTCATGCACATTTATATCAGATAAAAACGCTTCTTTTTATAAATACACATGGCATATACCTTATCCAAAATTGTCATTTTGCCTGACACAGCATTAAATTGTGTCGGCTACATGCAGGCTGCAGTAACTTCTATTTTAACAGCCAAGTCACGCATAAAAAATCAGAAAAGGAGTATTTTAAAACATCCTCAAATCAATTGAAATTATTTAAATAAACTGCCATCACATAACTTCCAAAGTTAATTGATCACTTACCAATTATTTAGATGTAATTTAGACGATATTTATAAACAGAAATTAAGAAAAAAGGGACATAAATCCCATAAAAATGACCCAATAAAAACAAGATTCTTTTGATGTCCACCTTCGTAACACTTTCAATTAGTTCTATTAACCTATGAAGTTTATTTTTTTCTCTATTTTTCCTTATCTGCTGCATTAAAAGTCATGTCAACAGAAAATGCATTAGGTACGATGTACTTTAGGTAATAAGAGCGGGAAAATGCATGGCCGGACCAAGATTAAACCCCGGACCCTCCAAACTCTGTAGATTAACGTTCTATTAATTGCACTACCTGGTCGCTGACAAGCTACCCAGTCTAGTTCCGCTGCATTCCTCCTTCCTTTTTCTAAGTTGTTGGGGGCTGTGTCTCTGAGTCTGAAGACAACTATTTACAACCCAGGTTGGGGTATCCCCTTACTTAGTATTCACTCAGTACTAGATATACATCGTAAAAGGAAAAATCCACAACCAGACTGGAATTTGAACCAGGACCCTCAAAACTCTAGACAGACGCCTTACCAATTGAGCTACCTACATATATAGTTGCCAACGATGGCCCAGTCTAGTTCCGCTACAGTAACTTATCATTAAAACACACTCAAAATGAAATGTCTGAAACATTTTTATTAACAGAAAGAGCTGCTTACACAGGAAATTTGAGAAAGATCAGTTTTTCTGAGAAAAAGTGATATTATACTATAAACTCTGTTTACTTGAAAAAAATATCATACAACTTTCCAAAACAGGAAAAGGTGTTGGAAAGTTTGATGATATTATTTTAGATAAGTAATTTCAGAAAGGGTTGAAGATTGGAAGTGTTGGAGTGGTTTAATATTGAGATTTAAGTTTGATGGGTTTTTTTCAAGTACATGTAAATTTATAAGGTTATTAATTGGTAGTTTCGATAAGCAATTAGGGGCTTGAAGTGAGTAATGCACAGGATCTTTCTGGGAATTTGTTCCAAGTTTAGATAGCTATATGAATTAAATTGTTCTAGATTGTTGTATAGCCAGTAAAAGAATGAATTAAAATGTAATGCAATACTATATAACAGTGTTGTGAATCACTTCAAAATCTCTGATCAATCATCACTTTTTCCCAAATGATTGATGATGATTAATGATCCATCATAAAATTAAATGAAAATGAATAGAGAAGCAGTCACCAAAATGGGTAAAATGTGGTGCATTCTCTTCAACTCCTGATCTCAATAATTTGTTATAATGTTGATAGTTTTCCAGCTGTAGTCAAACCATGATCGATCATAGAAAATCATGATCAATTAATCATAGTCAGGCATAAAATGAATGATCATCGATTAAATTGGTTAATCGGAACAATAAGTTATTCTTGTAGTTTATTAGAAGTGTCGACCGGTTTCGCCCCTACAGTGGGCTTCTTCAGGACAAATTTATAGGATATTTCTATCCCTGAAGTACTGAAAATGTGGGCACAAACAATTGTTCTACATATATATATATATATATAAACATCATTAACAATGGCACAGATTGTGACGTCATAAACAATAGGTAGTATTGTGATGTCATCAATAGTTAGTACAAGATAGATTCAGGCAAAATGCTATATATTATCCAGATCATATGTACTGTCAGCCTGAAGGATCAGATATCCAGTGCAGTATATATGTGCAACTAACATAGCTGTCGACCCTCCCTCATTAGGAGGGAGACTCCGGCCCTATAAACAATAGGTAGTATTGTGATGTCATCAATAGTTAGTACAAGATAGATTCAGGCAAAATGCTATATATTATCTAGATCATATGTACTGTCAGCCTGAAGGATCAGATATCCAGTGCAGTATATATGTGCAACTAACATAGCTGTCGACCCTCCCTCATTAGGAGGGAGACTCCGGCCCTGATTTTGACAAAAATTTACCAATCTTTCTCGAAACTCTGTCATTCAAGTCCAAACCCAGACAAACTCAAAATGTACATCCTGTGGTCAAATGATCTCCTAGTTAGTGCAGGGTGTAAGTAATGATCAATAATATAGCAGGTGTGTCTGAATCAAATGTCAATGCTTTTGGAGTTATTTTGGTACATAAAAAGGGAAAGATAAATTGAGCAAAGTCACATGTACACACTTTCTCCCTCATTGTAAAAGTGGAATGAGGGAGATCTCCCTCATTGGAGGTTTCAGAGGTTGACACCTCTGAACTATATATATATAACGGTATTAGTGATTCTGGTGACAGCAGAATGTGGAAATATAATTGAACACTGGTGACATACAAATGTATACAAGAGACATGTATGTCAAACCAGTTTACTGCGTTTTAAGTATATATAATCTACATATATATGTAAATATCACTGACAGCAGCAGTGGAAATATTTTCAGTAATAAAACGAAACCTCTGAATAATAAAAATATTGGCCAGTTTCCAAAAAGTATGTGAAATGTGAAATCACACTTACTAACTTAGTTTATATCAGATTCATATTAACTGAAATAGTTTACTCAATGGAATGAAAACATATCAGTGTATCAACCAGTTACCATCGATCGTGTACAGAGTTAAATGTTTTCTAACTGCTACTTATGTATTACCATGACATTAATTACTGTCAAAGTGAAAGTAACCGTTACATTGTCACGGTTACTGGAGCAAGGTGACTTCAATAACCTTCCGGTCAAAATTAAAGACTTAAGTAAAAAAAGCGAATTTGAAATAAACAAGTAATACCTTTAGTCATTTCCGCCCGTCCTGACTGCAGGCTAGTTCCTTGTCGTCTTCCTGCTTCAACGGAAAACCGGTCGCACATGTTCCTACAAGAAACGTTATTTCGACATGTTAGCCTGTCATAGGTTGAAATCTCAAACTATTTCGGAACTTCTCTTGTATCTTCACTATGCCTAATGCATACAGCGAGAGAAACCCGAACGCGTTATTCTAAGGATACGATAAAATAGAAAGTCAAGTACCGAGAAATCTAAATTCTTTTTTTTTTTAACTTTACGAAAAAGAAAATACACAGTCACGATAGAACACGTCAATAAATGTGAGACACAACACAATATAAAACAAATAAGAACACACTTTTGTGCTAAATTCCGGATATAGTCCGTTCTAAAATTAGGAACCCTCTTACGAAGCGCCGGACTGACCCTGAATATTTCGCGGCAAAGTTAAAAGTTGAGTAAATATGGTCTTTCCTCGAAGTTGGATGATTTTAATTTCTTGTCATAGAGTACAGTGAAGTATCCAATGCTGGCTTGTAAATATTCAGTTATTTTAAATATTTTCACTTTATGAGAGACGTTACAAATCCATCCAACCGTGCCAGTGTTGGTGCGCCCCCATCGTATCAAATTGTATACAAACTGAAAAAAAACCCCATCACAGTCATCATTTCACAGGCTGCATATATATGAGAAGAGTATGGAAAACATTTTTGTTTTCATATATTCACATACCAAATACAGATGTTACAGTCACAGTGTATTTTAAAATCAATACCGCAACTAAGGCACAAGTGGTCCACAAGCGACGATACCAAATGTCTAGTCAGTGTTTTCGAGTATTGCTGCTGGTATTGGACCTGGTTGGATTTCTAGGAATTCTGTCTCTGGCTCGGTGCATCCTGTCGGTCGTGGATATGGCCACTGCCCTGATGAATTTCAGCTAATGGATTTTTACAGCTTTAGGTGTTCCAAATCTTTACAGTACCGAAATGTCCTCAGTATCAAAGTTGTACATGTCTTGAGTATTGATCATGATGATACTGAGGACATTTCGGTACTGTAAAGATTTGGAACACCTAAAGCTGTAAAAATCCATAAGCTGATGCCTGATTTTCACTGTACATAATAATTAATGCACTACAGCACAAGACCAACTTCCGTAACCGTCGGTATCGACGGAGGAAGTTAATAAGATGAAGACTACATTTGTACGCTAGTAAAATTTAGAAGCAGATAGTAAACTAGACCAGGGCTAGTGATTTGTTTATGATTTTATAACTGACACAGACATTTTTGCTCAATTCTATCACCATGAAGCCTTTTTAAACCTGTAAATTCCGGTAATTTTCACTGCATCATCTACCAGAAGACATCAAGTCTGATTTATTCATACTGCATTCATTATGCAAGGCGTACTATTGCTTTTCATGTGTGTTAAAAGTGTAAGCAGGCCTTATCACAACAGTTCTGGTTTGTAAATCCCGTTCGCCCTAGGTTGTTTCGCCATAAAACAAAAAATTAAGGACGGAACATTGTTTGGTATTTTCTTTCAATTTTAGTTGTTTTAAGTCACAAATTAGGTCTTCTTAGATTTCCATATCATTAAAATCAATTTTATAAAAAGCTGACTCTGCACTCACACAGTTGGGTATTTTTCTACATGAAATATACCTAACACCAATGTAGAATGTTGTCAATAAGTTAAGTCGTTATATTTAAATATCAATTATTATATTAGCGTATCATTTGAAAATAAATTAGGGCGAACAGGATTTAGGGCGAAACAACCATTAGTACGATGAGGATTTAGGAACAACCCGTTACTAATCACAACATTAATAACCTTGAAAGCCGATACTAACCACCAAAATGGCCCGCTGTGTTGCAATCGATCTCTTTTATGTATATAGTACTAGTATAGGCAATGGATCTGGGTCGTTTCGCCCTAAATCCAGTTCACCGAAACTTTCGCCCTGATGTAAATATATCCTTAAGTTATAAATATCAGTTAGAATATTTTCAATGATCATGCAGCACTTCTACAGATTTTGTACGGCAATATATAGAGTAAAGTGAGAATGTCGGTTCTTACAGTCAGTTTATCAGACGTAACCACATAAAAGAAAACTCTGCAGTCATTTTTAAGATAGTTTCTGTTTCCTCTGACTTTAGAGGATGCATCAAGAGTTCCAATGAATCATCTTCTCCACATTTGTTGAACTTTCATTGAAGATTACCGTGTCGTTTAAAGGTTTTGCATTTGTATTTAATCAAAAGACTTCTGGTTGATAATTATAAGTACATGTACCAGATAATGCTTAAATGATTGTTGAAGTGAAACTTACTAAAATGATGAATAAAATTTCCTGGGTTTATCCTTCCAAAGCTTTTTTAACCTTGACTTGAAAGTGTTAAAGTGGGAGATCAGAAGTTACTACTTTGTCAGTGAGTTAACGTTCCAGACATGACACCAACCACTTGCTGAAAATAAAAATGATATGCCATATGCTTGTACTGACTGTTTTCTTTTATAGTTTTCCAGAGTGTTCCCATGATACAGTGTTGTACATGACTCTCCTTTGGAACATTTGACTGGTGGTCTAGCGATAGAGAGTCCATGCCATGCCATTGAGGATTTTAGAAACCTGAGTACAGTGTATCTGTAAGTTGGAGTTCTCTTATATAATTATATTAGTACCTCTCCATTGTACAATCTCTGTTGCTACTTTATCACGGGTAAGGGCCAGAGACTGTAATTGGTGTAGCTTATTCACAGTGTGACTTCAGTAAAGACTCACTGTCGTTACTGATCAGGAATATTGCAGGGTTCATGTGTGACATATCCATCATCTTATAATTATTGGGCTTAGAAACTGCAGCACTAACACGGGTCATTGATTTAAATTTGCTGACACTTTCAGGTCCTAGGCCTCTCACTGGTAGCAGTGCCATTTGCGGGCTTACTGTATATATATCCATGCTGTGTAAGGGAATGCATCATTACATGTATTTGTTTCTGCCATCATTGTTTCCATTTTTCATATACTCACATGTACACCTTTTAACATTTGATTTTCATAAACCTGGTCAATTTCTGTCTTTTTTGCACATTGATGTTTATTTTTCGAATTAATATTGATTACAGGTCCTGGAACTTGTAGAAGTGAAAGATTTCTAAATGAGCATGGATGAGAACTCAATCACCCCTCCCCTGTCACCAGACAACCCATACAGACTGGACATTGAGGACAGTGATATGATGTTTGCTGACGACTTGGCCAGGCAGTTCCCATCCACTCCAGTACACTTCCCAGATGAGGGTACAGTATAGTCTATACTGCTACTATCCTTGATATCAAGGAGTTACGCTCACTTTCGCTCTCGGCACCCCTGGAATATGTCATAGCAAAATTGAAGGCTCTGTGTGTGCCACCTTGTTGATGAGACAAGAACACTAGTTTGATCCTTTGATGTACATCAAAAGAATCTTGCAGTCACGTAACTGTAAATACTGACTGGCTTTGAAGTCGGGCGTCTCTCCTTTGTAATCTTTAAAGGACAGGTATCAGCCTAGCGATTGGTCAGGTTTTTTCACCTGAGACCAATCAAACCGCTATCTTCGTGCCTTCAATTTTGCTATGACATATTCCAGGGGTGTAGAGAGCGAAAGTGAGCGTAACCCCTGGATATCGAGGATGTACTGCTACTGACGACAGTGCATATGTATACTGATAATTAGAAGTTATCATATGACCATTTTCATATCCTACTCCATATCAGCCGGAGGTGCCAAGATCGACTCGCATATCAGCCCAAGGAACCAGAGGCCTGCAGGCTGATACTGGGTAGGATATGGAAATAGCCATTTGGTAACATTTTTATCATATACTGCTCTATAGCATCACAATTATTAGTAATTACACATTCTACCGCAAATTAAAATGCAATTAACAGAATAGCAAATACAGATAGGTATGCAGTGTGAACACTACCAGCTTATGAGGTGTGAATTTTCTGAAAACTGTTGAACAGATATGGTGCGTGTCGGGCGGGTTTGATTTGGTTTAGTCTTGTTTAACGTCCTATCAACAGCTATGGTCATTTAAGGACAACCTCCCATGTGTGCAAGATGCATGGGTGTAGTGTATGTGTTTTGGGAGGTTGTGATATGTTCATGCTGGTTGGATATGGGTTGGTACAGGATATGGGTTGGTACAGGATATGGCCTATACACATGTACAGCTACATGCAGCATTATCACACATTCAAAACAACCCATACCACGGCTAAGTATATGATAATGTACTTAAGTACAGTTCCCAGACAACAATATTAATGTATGTACTTATATAATGTATGTACTTAGATAATGTATGTACTTATATAATGTATGCCATTACTGGTTTATAAAGTGAACCAGCATGCAGAAGAGAAGCTAGCTAAACATCACAACACAGTTTTTAAAAAAAATGACAAAACACTCAAACTTCAAATCTTTACCTGTTCCTCTAGATCTGCAGATTCAGAAAGAAGATTTGAACTAGTACTGTATAATACATGAATTGACACTATAGTCCCCTCTGAAAGTCTTTTGGGACATACCAAAGAAACAGAAATTTTGTCTGTGATTTTTCTTTTCTGTCTTATATCTACAGTACTCTTTCCTTTAATATGACGATTTCTCTCAAGACAACTCTGGTTAGACCTTAAATGTTCACGTACAAATTGTTTGACGTTTAGATTAATTATATTATATGACAGGCTGGTATGTCATGCTATCATGTCAAAGTTCGGACTCACAGTGCGGTTGCACCTTAAGATGGCCCTTAATTGATCATGACCCTATAATCAGTGGATGATGTCATATGACCTCAGCTGTTGCAGAGATCTTAATTTCAAAACACACAAATAAATTGTTTTTCTTGAAATTGTTTTTTTTAATGTATTTGAAACAATAGTGTTTGTAAAATCTGTTAATTTTGCCTATATATTTTCGAGACATTTTTGAGTTGTCTTTTTGGTATATTATATGTGTATTACCCAATTACAATATAACATAAAGCAATTCAATATGTAAGTTTATTTTTTTTGGGAATTCCTGTATAAAACCTTTGTGCAAATTCATACAATTACTATAAATTGTTTGGGCATATAATTAGTACCTATAGTTATATTTATCATTTAGGTGTATGAAATCAATTTTTTACTTTCCTAAAAAATTGAAGTTTGTTGTACAATGTGTCTGATTTAAAGGCCAGCAGATGGAAGTGCAGGAACCAACTCCAACATATACAAGCCAGCGACCATTCTCTTGTCATAATGTCAAATCTTCACCGAAGCAGCTAGAAAGGTACATAATAAGTTTGTTATCATCTGTTATATGTATTATATATGCACTTGTTCATATTTGTTAAGTTGATAAAACTTATATCTTTTATCTGTTTTGTAAAAAATCTGTTCTTTTTTTTAACTGTTTACACATGTTTATTATGTGATGTAAATTTATTTTCCAACACCTTGTGTATAAGTTAAGCTCTATTCACATTTGTCATGCAGTGTAGTAGATATAATAAGTATTTGAAACAGAAGCCTAGGATCTGTATAAATAATTGTGGTTTTTCCCCTTTATATGAATTAGAGTTAATTACCTAAAGTGTTTATGTAAAGTGTATAATGGCTAGAAAATATATAACTTCTACTTCGTGATTTTCTATTTTACATGTTTTTGTTTAATACTTTTACTGGACTCGTGTAGTTTCCTGAAGACTATTGAGTCGACCTACGTACCTGACCTAGATATCATGGTGGAGTTATTCAGTCAGCAGTTTGTCACTTGTCAACTGGAGCAGAACCTGGATAAGCTTTCCTTATTTCTTAGGTATGTAATGTTCAATGAAAAAATTGAAACTTTTGAAAATATGATCTCAAATCATAATTGTTGTAATGAAAAAGAATTTCTTCCAGTCTCTTGCGAAATATTTTCACCAACTGTACACATATTCCTTTACTAGGAATTTTGCGTAATCAGATTTTGATTTGAAATACTTTTATTTCAATGTAAACATTGTGAACATACATTTTGTACTTTACCGAGTCAAAAAAAACCATTCCAAATTCTTAAAGAATTTCACAAATTTAATGTTAAGAGAAAATTGGTGGGAAAATGCTACAAACTTCATACAAGCAACAAACAAGTGTCATAGACAATAGACCCAATGCATATTTTACCTTTTCACCACTAAAGACCATAATGGACTCTTCCAGATCAATGCAGGGTAGAGTTTACTAAATACATAGAGGTGAAAGGATATATTGTATGTTTGTTAATTATTTATCATTAATCAGTATTGAATAAAAGAAAGGTAGGTGAAATACATGATACTGTCCTGTTTATAACCTAAAGCTATTTTGCAGTAGTATGCTTCTGTTTCTTAACAAAAGATTATTTGTGATTTGCAATTTCAACCAAGTTTGATAATTTGATGAACAAAAATTGTTTCACTAAAATGGTGATTCACATCTGACTTATAGATGAATATCAGTCTCAGTGAGATATGAATATCACTATGCCTTTTTCGGCAGAGCCGATAACATACTTGCCAACTCCCTATTTTGGAGGGAGACTCCCCATTTTGGGCCCTAATCTGAGCATTTCCTAAGCTCTGATGATTTTTATTTGAAAGAACATCTCAAAACATGACACTTAAAAGTGAAATTTCCCCCTAGGGTGTATATAGACACATTTTATTTATTGATATTTTGAATTTAGAGCATGTAATCCCCTCCCCTATAAATATCGAACAGTTGTATATGTTTTAATCAATGTCATAGCTAGGTACACAGCTATTTTAGACTTATAACCACAAACATCAAAACTCTGGCGTTCATCTTTTTATAAATATATTTCTTGTTTTTATTAGTCAGTGGATTTGTCGGATACAAAACAAAAACCCATCACCAGGTAATTATTATTTATTTATGATTAATGTTGTCTTTTGTTTTCAACTTATCTGGTCTAAAAGGCCAGATGAGCTTATGCCAAGGTTTCGTACATTATAAAATTTTCTTATAGAAGCATATTATTCCAGAAAAGGAAAACAGCATTATATTCAATGTTCCAATACATAATATGTATTCTTATTAAAACCAGAAAATGGAATTATCTTGATTCAGACTTGTTCTACCATTCATCACAATTAAATATCACATATATTGACGAATAAAAGGGTATGCTTAATAAACCATATGATAAAAACAGAAAAAGCTCACTGTAATGATATTTCCCTTGATTGTTCATGCTATTTGTAACAATTTTTTGGGGTAAATTTTGACATGGTTTTATAGCGCCTTTCATAATACATGTATGCTTTTATGTATTTCCAGCATCAGAAGTACGGCGATGGAGACAAGATATCGTCAGCTTTTATGTTTTCTTAAAATCCTACGTGTTGAGGTTTGTTTTATATATGCAGACATGACATATTTTTTGTGAGATTTATTTTTGATCAAATGTGAGAAAACAAGCATGCTTATTTAGGTATATATACTTAGTAGTGAAAATACGTATTGAACATAACGTTTGGTAATTAAGCTGTTTTTTTGTTTTTAATGACAATGCCTTGAACAAATTCGGATTTCGGGTTTCTACATTGTAGGTCAAGGTCACTGTTACTATTTTTTGGAAAAAAACTCTAGCAACTTTATTACTAAACGGAATTTCATGAAACTTAATACAAGTGTTTGGTATGATGATGCCTTGGATAATTTCGCATTTTGGGTTTCTATGTTGAAGGTGAAGGTCACTATTACTATTTTTAGAAAAACTTTGTCATCACTATATTGACTTCATTCCTGGCATCTGCGTTAAAGGTCAAGGTCACTTTAACTATTTTTAGAAAAAGATTGTCATCGCTCTATCGACTTCATTCTTCAAGGGAATAAAAATCTGTTATCCATGGAAGTATGCAATCGCTAGCGTAGATACTGATACATCATTGAATTTTCTATTCATTTCCTCATTCATGTGTAACACAATGTCTGAATGCGGGGGAATTTGTATCACTTGTGATGTCTTGTTTCATTTCAAATTTTTCACTCTAACTTTTCTTTTCATCATTATATCATTCTAATCAGTTCTCCGATTGTGTTGTCAGGTACAATGGAGTTGACAACCAGTTACCTCCCCTGTTGAACTCTCTGCTTTCACTCATGCATGGCGCCTTATTACATGTAGACACACCCACCCAGATACATTTCGACTGCATGTCCAGGGTAAGATATGATTCTTAAGTTTTTCTCAGGTTTGCCAGAAAGTTTATTTATTTCTATATTCCAAGCTCCATATATATGTTTGCTGGACAACCGAACTACTCCGTAGTGAAAAAGACGTAAAACCAATCAATCAAGCTCTTTATTTTATTTTACTGTATTACAGTTACTACAAGTACAAACATTTTTCCTTTTTGTTATTTTCAATTATTGACCCGAGAAAGTGATATTGACCAGAGACAAATTTGAGGTCAGCATCACTTTCTCGGGTTATAATAGTTGATAAAAGTAGACCCATAGTCACCTTCTATACCTCCTTGTATTTGTTTTAGATTCGTTGCATCTAGGTCATTTGGTTGAATTGATTGGCTGGTGGCCTCCGCCCCGCTGTTTATTTTAATCTAATCTTCTTGTAGAAGTGATGCTTTAACTAAACAATAGACATTCATATGCTGTGTCTAGGTATTTCAAGTATAACAAATGTGTTTTTAATTTGTAGGTTGACAGTTGTGAATACAACAGTTTCCATCTCTGCCTAGATGTATACTGGGAAACACTGGAACTTCTATGTCTCATAGTGTACAAGTTTCAAGGTAATCAAAAACAAGAAAACGCAGATCCTACTGTAATATTTTTTTCCATTTTTAGACAAATATTGTGTATATATAAATATGAATCATTTAGTGGTTGCCATTTCCATTGGTCCTTCTGTCTATACATACCACATCCTGGTTGGACTTTGCCTTTGGCTCCATTACTCTTATACAATGGATAAAACAGTTATCAAACTTCAGTGTAACTCCCATGTGTCAAATGTAGGTCTCTTTGACCTGTATTTTCCAATTTACTTAATTTAGTCAGGCTTTGTGTTTATCACAATCTCTGTTAGTCATACTTTGCATTTAACTCTATTTCCTTAGATAGACTTCAGCATAATTACTACCAAAGCAGGTTTGGGAAGATATGTATGTTTTACAAACATTTTATAGTATAATGAGGTTTATCATATTACCAAACAGGACTAGACTAAAAGGGTAGCCTGATAGTCTGAGACTAGTGAAATCTCCAGCTGGACTAGTGGTTCTAAAAACCGCTAGCCTGATTGACAAGCCAAAATTTGCTTACCTTATTAAAAATATTGGGTTAGTGGAATTTCCACATGGACTAGTAAAAATTTGAAACTTCTACTGCAATAGACTAGTGGTATTCAAAATTAATTTCTAGTCCTGCCAAATATATAAAATCCAGTCAATACTAACTTTTGGTATTTCAGATCTGCCCTATAGACAGTCTTTGATCCAGTGTTGTGGGAGGGAGGAAGAAGATCACAAGTCTATGTTTACACAGGTGGTGCAGTTAGTCCTGTGGGAACTTGTCACACTGGCTCAGCAGGCATACAGCAAGGTAACACTCATCTGTCAAACTATTTGCACTATAGTATTGTACTATGTCTACTCGACTAGATGGGTGTATTACATCTAGACAAGGTGACACATAAAACTGCATCTTGATAAAAAAAGGGTCAAGATCACAGTAATCAAAGGTTAAGGTAACATTAATCAAAGTTTAAGGTAACAGTATTCAAAGGTCATGGTTACATTTAACAAAGGTCAAGGTAACATTTATCAAAGGTCATGGTAACATTTAACAAAGGTCAAGGTAAAATTTAACAAAGGTCATGATAACATGAGTCAAAGGTCAAGGTAATGCTTTCAAATGTCAAGGTAACAGTAATCAAAGGTCAAGGTAACAGTTAGCAGTAGTCAAGTTAAGAGAAATTAAAGGCCATGATAACAGTAATAAGTCAAGGTAACAGTAATCATAGGTAAAGGAAATAGTTATCAGAAATCAAAGTGTATATCATTGCAATTCTTGTCCAGGCCAATATTTTTTGAATGTCTCAATATTTTTGTATAAAACTTTTTTAATGTATTTATCCTGACTGGACAATGTCACTTTCGACTCCTTGGTGATAACACTTTCCTGTCATGTATAAGAGGATACCAAACATGTTACAATAATTTAGGTGTCTACAAAGGAAGCTCTGGAGACGAGTCCATTCCCGTGTCCTTGTGTGAAAGAGATGTGGACCATGTGTGAAGTTCTTCTCCGACATAGGAACTCAAACTGCTCTGAACAGGTCGGTAAATGTCATACCTTAAATTACAGCACTCTGTAGATATTTGATCAATTTATGAAGTAACTAAATATTTGTTTTACACTGTATCCATTTGTTAAAGGAACATCTAGCTCATTGCAATGTGTTATTGTGTCTAGACTTCTTATCTTGTACCCACTGGTACATTATTTATGCTTGAGAAGTTTACCTGTTGACATTGAAACATCAATGCCATCACTCCAGCAAATTCATTTGTTAATAGATTTTAATAGTCCTTTATACAAATGTTAAGTATGAAAATGCTTCAAATTTGTTTGCATTTTAGGAACCAAAAGTCAAAGTTGAGATCCATTTTACAGTTCAAACCAATATGTCAAAAAAATGTCCCAACTTTAGATAGGAATTGGGCCCATTCCTGCCTTAAAAACATTTTCTGTGTCTTTTTGTATTGCAATGAAGTTTCAGGCAATTTTTTTTTATCTTGTTATCAAATAAATCCTTCCATGTAATTGCTGTATTACTTGTGTATAAAAGGTTTTCATTTTTTAAATGACATTTGATCTGTGATTTATTGTCTACAGCTGCTCTGGGTTCACATCAACAACATGCTGCAGATCCTGCAAGAGGATGAGGTGTCAGGAAACACAGAGATGGAGATAGGTACTGACATGTCTTGTCCCCTCCTGTACATGTAACTAAACTACTGTACATGTAACTAAGCTTATATACATGTAACTAAGTGACTGCATGTAACTAAGCTACTGTACATGTAACTAAGTGACTGTACATGTAACTAAGTGACTGCGCATGTAACTAAGTTTCTGTATATGTAACTAGGCTACTTTACATGTAATTTAGCTACTATACATGTAACTGAGCTTCTGTATATGTAACTAAGTGACTGCATGTAACTAATGGTTCTGTACATGTAACTAAGCTTCTGAACATGTAACTAAGGGTTCTGTACATGTAGCTAAGCTTCTGTACATGTAACTAAGCTTCTGTACATGTAACTAAGGGTTCTGTATATGTAACTAAGCTTATGTACATGTAACTTAGCTAGTGTACATGTAACTACCCAGCTGTACATGTAATTTAGTTACTGTACATGTAACTAAACTACTGTACATGTAATTAAGCTTCTGTACATAAAACTAAGCAACTGTACATGTAACTAAACTTCTGTACATGTAACTAAGGGTTATGTACCTGTAACTAAGGGTTCTGTACATGTAACTAAGGGTTATGTACGTGTAACTAAGATTCTGTACATGTAACTAAGGGTTCTGTACATGTAACTAAGCTTCTGTACATGTAATAAAGCTAATGTACATGTCATTAAGCAATTACTGTATATGTAATTAAGCTAATGTACATGAAATTAAGCTACAGTCACATGTTATTAAGCAACTACGTTTAACTAAGCTACTGTACATGTAATTAAGCAATTGTACATTTGATTAAGAAATTGTACATATAATAAAGTAACTGTACGTGTAATTTAGCTATACTGTACACATAAATAAGCTCCTGTACACCATATTACAATGTTGAGATATCGTTAAGTTACTGTGATTCAAGTTACGTTTTAATTAATGTTTCAGGAGTTGATGTTAAAACAGCGAACTCTGGCTTAACCAATAACTGATTTTAATGACATTGTGTAGCATGCCATTATTATGCCGTTTCCCTAAAAACAAGGGCAATAAATGTGTATTGTCAACATACTAAAATCTATACGGCTAATATAATTTCATCTATATCCACAGATTCCAATGTTTTTGTGTATCCAGCCACTTCTCTAGTTATCAAAGACAAGACTGGCTTCTGTCTGTGGTTATCAACTAAACTGGCCGCACTTCAGAGTGATTCATCAAATAGTCACCCTGTACAGGTAAGTATAAATACTCAATGGTATTCGTTATGTAGTGTTTTACCAACTGAATACATTCAGTGTTTACCATGTTTGTCCTAATGAAGGCACCCCCAGGGATTTCAAAACTGTACAAAACAAACAGATCAGAAAGGAAGCAGTCAAAGTCCCAGATAAATAAATTGTTAATATCAGATCATGCCACACAGAAAAATCATGTGATTGACTGGGATAACTCCAGAAGTTTTGGACAGAGAGAGCAATCTGTTCAAGCGGCAGATAAAGGAAGCCATCTGGATATGCCGCAGTGGGCCAGTTCTAAATCGAGGCGAGGGGGGTTAAAGACTCTCGCACATCTATGACCAAGCGAAACAAAGCGTAGCTGAATCGAGCCATTTCAGTACATATATAACAACTATTGTACATGCGCTTACAGCGTAGCCGAATCGACATCAATTTTTGTGGACAACTCATACACATTTTACACCTTTGTGTGCATACGCTTCACTGGTCGTTTGTCTGATGAAGGTGACAGTGTACATATCATACTAGTCATCGAAACGTCACATAGAACATTTTATTGGTTGTGTAAAAAGAAGTTTTCATAATGTACAAAACAAAACTTGTTTGCATGCTGTAAAATATAATCTGTATATCATATTTTTCATATTTCAGTGAGAGCAAAAATGATCAGTGTAAGATTTCAAGCCTATCATTGTATAATTTCTATAAATGCTATTTTTTTGTTTTCAGCGTACAAGTGACAGTAGTTACCAAGAAGTGATGGCCGCTCTTAGAAAATCCCTTGCAAAGGTATCCTTATTGTTTTTAATCATTTTCCCAAAATATTGAAAGTGTTTACAATCAGCCTAGCAAAAGGAATGTGATTGTTTGAAATCAGGCTAGCAAAGGTATTGTAAATGCTCAAAATCAGCCCAGCAAAAGTATCGTAGCTAAATGCTTAAAATAAACCATCCAGCAGAGGTATTGTAATGATTTAAAATAGGCCTAGCAAAGGTTTTCTAAAATCAGTTAAGCAAAGTGTTGTAAGTGTCAAAATTCTGCCTGCTATGTTCTTAAATCGATCATTTCAGTGTAGTATACATTTGGGTAATAAATGAGGAATGGTTGGTTATCATCATGTTGATCTAACACAAGTTTTCAGAAGGAGGTTCATGGCTTTCACTGGTAGCCGCCAGCGGCATCAATGGCGAAAGTAAAATGTGATTGGCAATTTGAAACTGCAGTTGTCAAAAATGCTTACGCGGGGCTTTTATTTAAGTTCATGCCGACATTTGAGAAAACATTGGCAATAACTGTGTCTAGATAAATCGCTACAAAATCTAAAATAAAACGATGAGAGTTAGATAAACAAGATAACCAATCCTACCAATATTAAGGGCAGCGGTGGCCAATTGGTTAAGGCGTCTGACATTCTGCTACCAATAGCCCTCCACCAATGGGTCGCGGGTTCGAGGCCTACGTGGGGAACTCGCTAGGTACTGGCAGTAGGTCGGTGGTTTTTCTCTGGGAACTCCCGTTTTCCTTCACCACCAAATCCTGGAACGTCCTTAAATGACCATAGCTGTAAATAAAACATAAAACACAAACAAACCAAATCCTACCAAATCAAAAGATATTTTTTTTACATGAAAACCTATTCAGTGTACTTACATGTTTCTAGCTTGCACCTAGAGATATTACCAATAATATAGTAAGCATGATGTCACCAAGCATTGTGACCCTATAAAGACCGCTCTCCATGTATTCACCAATAAACTCTGTCCTGTGTGGGTAACAGGTTTTTTTTACTGACGCTTTACCTTTTTATCCAATATGCCAGAAATTAAGAAAAACTTTTTATTCTACGGTTATTTTTTAGACGGATCTATCGGAGTCAGACCTACGATTTTACCTACAGTGTTGTGTTAATCTTGCGGAGCACTGGAAACCACATGTGGCGCTGTTGCTTCTCCTCTGGGATCACTTCTATCGCAAACTGGTATTAAACTAGCACTCATTTGTACTGATAAGATAATGCTACCTATACAAACTTTCACATTGTGACTTCGAAACAACTTGTCATGATCATAGCTTGTATTTGTCATCTTTCCAAATATTAAATTGAGAGTTAAAAACAAAACAAAAACGTAACCAATTCATAATACAAAAAAAAATAGAGGAAATTTAGTAATAATTCTGAACTGTAAAAGGGAATTTTAATTATTTAAAAATGTATAAGCTGAAGAAAAATATTTTACTTCCATCAACTTTTACACCTTTAATAAACAATTATACTTACATGTATATATGGACATCCTCAAAAATTGTTTGCAGTTTTTAGAAATGATGTATTTCTATGTAAAAATACTCACTTTCATAGATTTTTCAGCAAAAATAAAAAAATTCTGTTGTCATGGAAAGTTCATAATAAAAGAATTTGAGAAAGTGTCTTTTTTAGTGAGTCAGTCAGGAAACCACAAACAGTTAATTGAGGAGGTCTAATACATTGATTATTGGAAAACAACTAAGAAGCTTCCATATACATATAAAACATAATTATATAACTATACTCTGACATTAGATCTGTTTATTTTCACTAACAGAACAGCAATTTCCAGTTAAACGTGGCAACAGTAGACGGTTTAGGCACTCTCAGGTAGGACAATTTTACCTTGTATGCAAGAAAAGGTTTCAGATGGTATTGTTTATCTTAAGACCACTGTGAAATCAAATATTTCTGTGGGGCCCAAATTTTGTGGTTCCCGACAAAACACCATTTCGTGGGTAAATGAATTTGTGAATTACATGTACCCACTCAAACAGATAATGGTTTTATATCAAACTTGTAATTACTGGTGGACCTATGAATTCGTGGATGAAGATTACCTACGAAATCTACAAAATTAAAAACCCCATGAAAATGAGTGATTTCACAGTATCATATTGTAGTTACAGTCTTTACGCTTTTGTAACTAACTGATATGTCTCCCGAGTTGGTACTGGAAATGTATATACAATTATTAGTGCCTCCGGAGTTCAAACAAAAGGTCAACTTTGGTGCTAGGTTCATGTCAGGTAAATAAAACCTATTTTAACATTAGGAAGTATTGTTTTGGAGACGAATTTTGCTGATAAATCTATCAACAAATTCAATGTGGCATTACCAATGGATATCCCCTCCCTCCGATATTCACATCTGAGTCTTGGATTCTTGGATATCTAAACCTATGCAATTTTGGGCATTCAAATCAACATAACTTTCTCTAATGTATTACACCAATATGAAAACTGCTTTTCTTGGTCCCAAAATAAGATTCTCATCAACTAAGATAAACTCTGACATGATTTCTTGTGCACCTGTTACTCATGTCGAAGCAGGACAGATCTCTACTGACATTTCACTTCTACCCAAATATCCTTACAGTGTTTCAATACCATTTTCCTAGTAATTAGTTCCCCCGTAGTACTCCCGGTCCCCCATGTTCAGGAGGAAATTGAATTATATAAACATCACCCAATCCTTACCAGGCCCAGTTATTGATTTACAGTACGTTTTTTTATGCGTACACTTCTAAATAGAGATTCATGTCTGGTGATCATGGCTGAACTTCCCATGAAGCGGATGAAACATTTGATGTCCAAACCTCCAGCCACACTGGAATGTTATATTGTCCTTCTGTTATACTGTAGCAATGGTTGAAGTTAACATGTTCTATCACAACTCACATTTTATTATCCTAATAAGTGCCGCTATACAAATGTATAAGCATTTTTTTTTTTACAGTGGCCTGGGTGTTAATTATGGTGATTATTGTATGTACTTTTGTTTTGTTTTTATTTTCCAGCAAGAGCTCGCTAACTTTATTAGAACAGTGCAATAGACTTGGCTGTGGTCAGTACAAATTGTAAGTATTAGAATATGTTTGTCAAGAAAACCCATTCGACAGTAAACATGACAAGGTAATCGATGCCATAGTAACATTAGTTATATTACCAATGTTTACAAGTCATTGTGGTGCAAACATATTCCGCCATTTTTGTTTACAACAACACAATCGAAACACATCTGACGCTTTTAAAAACGGGATGTTGTCAGATTTTGTGCTAGCAGAATGTAGCGTAGATCAAGATATGGTTTTAATCAGATTCTTCAACTAAATCCAGCATGATTGTTTATTGTGTTTCAAAATAATTGTGTAAACCTTGTCAACTGTCACAGGAGATAGATATGGATCAAAAGAACTTTTCCACAAATATTTACAATAAATTGCACAAAAGGAATTTCAACCATAAACACTGTTATGGTTACAATTAACTACTACGATTCAAGCATGTGTTAATGGACTTTATAACATCTCCTAGAATATTTAGCCTTGTGTTATATATTAGAAATATCACAGACTTAACGATCGTCAGCTATTTAGTTTTAGCTAAAGACAAGTCTAGACCCTTTGATCTGTGCATGCCTGATTTTTCAGAGGTCAACCTCTGTTCCGATATATATGCTTATCATTTCTTTGTAAGTTCAACCAGTTGAAACTGCATGTATTACATTAACAAAAAAGGGGCCAGGTCTTTTATCAATTTGAAAGCATTTCCCTGACTGTCTTTAGTCGTAACTGGTATTTAAACTTGCAGTAAGCCTCAGGACACAAGTTTCCAGTTATTTCTTGGTCTCCTTGGTAACCATCTTCGCCACCTTCTTGACTCTGGTTCAAATCAGGAATGGAGACAGATAAAAGGAAGGTATACATCATGTTATTCATGCCATGATAAAAACCCAGTAAAAAGTGTTTTACTAAACCATGAATTCAAACATCTGAAAAATCGTTTTGAAATTTCTGCCAATTATTCTTTTAATTCATGCAACCTTCCTATTATTTTCATTTTGTTATTAGCTCACCTGGGCCGAAGGGCCAAGTGAGCTTATGCTATGGTGCGGCGTCCGACGTCCGTCTGTCCATCGTCAACTTTTTACTATAAACAACTTCTTCTAAATAACTAAAAGGACCAGGATTTTGATATTTGGTCAGTAGCATTCTGGGATGAAGGGCTTCCAAGTTTGTTCAAATGAATGATCTTCACTCATGTTCAAGGTCACAGGGGTCTAATATGTCTAAAAAAAACACTTTTAAACAACTTCTGAATAACAGTGAGGCCCAGGTTGATATTTGACCCGTAGCATACTTTGATGAAGGGCTACTAAGTTTGTTCAAATGAATGACCTTGACCTATATTGAAAGTCACTGTTTGGATTGTTATAAACGAAAGCAGCCCTGGTGCTTGAACATAATTTGTGAAACTTTATTTTCCAGAGTCTATTCGAAATTCCACAAAAGAAGGATTCAGGAGCTGATGGAGAACGGCTTTTACAACTTTACCTGTCTGTTTCTATGTCTCGGCCTGGCTGCCGACACAGAGGATGTTGTGAGTAGCCTTTTGGAGAGTCATTTTAATGTTTATTCAAACATACTGTATAGGTCACATAATGTCAAAAATCAGAAAAAAAATGTTGGGTCAAGTATGATTTCACAATTGTGTGAGTATATTTGTAAATAAATTGTCACTAAAAAGCAAAATTAAGATTTTCTTGTAAGATTTATATTTTGCATGTGTAATAAATAATAGAATTCAGCTTATATATTTCTTTGACACCAAATAAGCATTACAATGGTGATTATGAGTTAATGACATTATTTTAAGTGATGCTGTACAATATTACATTCATCAAGATTTTCATCTTTAAATTCTACTATGCAACTTTAATACAAATGCAAAAAAACAGTTTCTGCCTTTACATACATCTGGTACTGATGAACATGTAAAAATCAAATTCTGTATATATTTTGTTCCACGACAGACTGGGAAATTGTGTGACTTCTATAACATGGTGGACATGTCAAGTCTGTCTCTCGGGACGACTCGGGTCATGTGGCAGGGAATGTTTGCCATGGTGCACCTTTACCAGCAGAAAGATCTGGACATCTCTGTCCTGACCGACAGACTCGGCCAGGCCTTCAGCAGCACCTGTATGTAAGTCTCCAGGTATTCTCTTCACGAGATGTGAAATCAATAAGATGAAAGCAAGTTGGCCTGTAAGTCTCCAGGCACAACACTGATACACACAAGAACAAACATACTACATGGTAATAAATCTGTTGGAAGTCTCAAGGCTGTGATACAGTATTAAATCAGTTTGCATGCTTCAACGCAGGGACATACATAGTAAGGCCAAAACATTTTTTTTACTTGGTTCTCAGGCCAATTTTTTTCAAAAAAGATGACGCAAGAGGTATTTTTTTTTTTCATTTTACATGGCAAAACGTTCATTGTGGACATTACCTTGTCAAATGTGTCCATTTTTTGTCGCCCAACACACACAGATACTTGAGCAGAACGGAGTTTATCTGGGAACGACTGTTTTTTATAGTTGTGTAGAGATCTGTCAAGGAGCAAGCCTCCAAAAATCCCCCACGATGTTCCAGGGAGGAATCACGGACTCCCATTCCCTATTTGTACCGAAATGAGTGCCATTTGTACACGAGATTAGTAAGTCATAATCGTTTCAACGCTTGCCTGTATATCATTATTCAAACGTTTTCGGGACTTTGGTGACTAAGGAGTAAAAACGACATGCAGACCAATTTTCCGGAATTTTTTTTAAGACGCCCGCTGGTGCATTCACGATTTTGTTTTATAACTTTCACGATAAAATCGGCAATGTGGTGCCCTAAAATGAAATGGGTGCGGGCCTGAGAACCAAGTAATTATTTATTTTTTTGCCTAATAGTTACAATCTTTCTGTATATATGCAATGACTTCTGTCTTCATGTATGCAATGACCTCTGACATATATTATTTTCAGGGAATTCTCGTGCGACGACCTTGACCCCAGACGTCGACACTTGCTATGGAGACTTATCCTGTTCTACATAGAAAGCGTACAGGAAGTGTTTGAATCCAGTTCCCAACTGGGACCCGCCTACTCACGACTTATGTGTCAGTTTCATTTCTGGTCTTGTACAGTTGTACTACTTTTTAACAGTCAGGACTTTTTCGATTGCTTAATATCATTCAGTTGATCTAATGTAATGCATAGATGTGCATTGATGGTCAAAGTAGGGCACAGGCGAGACACATCAATCGGAATGGCTTGTTTTAGTGAATCTATCATTTTATAGACATCTAGAACAGGGTATGTTTTGGTGAGTCTGTCATTTTATAGAAGTCTTGAACAGGGTAATTAATATTGTGTGTTCCATGCTACCCTTTTTCTGTATTACCATTTGAACATTAAGTGAGAGTTTAACATTATAGGAGCAACAAATTGTTGAATTGATATCCTTTTGTATTCTCCATATGTAGGATTAACATAAACATCCAACAGCATCAATCCATGTTATACGCCAGTCCTGTGAAGCCTGTGTTGATTCAGATCTGTATGTTTTCCAGCGGAAGGGTTTAGCAGTGTCCTCAGCGGCTGTCGCAGTAATGAGCTGGGTCCTGTCTTAGGTACCATAGAGGTTGTGATCACATGTATCAGGTATTTAGTATTGTTTGTTCCTCGCATTTAACGAAGGTATAGGGTACCTACAAGACATTGTCACTGTTGTAAAATATTTGTTTAGACTTTTACATAGGAATTATCCCATGAAAGTTGCATGTTGCTGTAGTTATTTGAAATTGTAATGGTTTGAAATTAAAATTTAAAAAAAAAAGAGAAAAAACTGAAGGAGTCAAACTTGTTACCTTTATATTGTAAAGCTTTACCAATGCTGCCAAATAGGAATTATGAAAGCACAACATCAATGTGAAGTTTATGTCAAATTTATGGGCTGCAAAGCACATGAACACGTTACTCTAAGCGAAAAAAAATCATTTTGATTGCTTCATCTTCTGTGTAGAAGGGAGATTACTTAGGTCAAAACACTCTTCTAATTGATTATAACGAACCAAACCATTATTTCTCTACATTTAAACTATTGTACTGCTAAGGCCAAGATTGAATCCATATTTATCTAATTAGGTCACAGGTACTTTCTTGCTTCTAATTAGGTCACAGGTACTTTCTCGCTTCTAATTAGGTCACAGGTACTTTCTTGCTTCAAATTAGGTCACTGGTACTTACTATTTTGATCCTTACATATCATTTAGCATGTTTTTGGATCACACTTTCACTTTGCCTGATTTTAAACTGGGTTTTCCTGAACCACAGACAAGACTTGAACTCATGATATTAACATGAGGGGTAATATTTTAATATTTTTTGCTAAAATGTCCATGAAATAAAAGTATTAGAACGATACAGCTTCCACCACTTAAACTTTACTTTCTGTACTATTTTACTACCGTTTAGGGAGACGAAGAAGAAAGCTGGAGCTGAGAAGAATGTAGAAGATGTGTATAATGTGATATGGACTAGCATCCTGCCAGCTATAAAATCCCTGTCCTGCAGTCAGTCAGCCTCTCCCCTATTGGCAGACACACTGGCGGGGCTCACCCTACTCGCTTTTGACAGGTATCACGCATCATGTATAAAACTCTTTCTATAGTAGCTAACCACATTGCTTATTAAAGAGAACTTTTATATTACCGAAAAACCTACTGTTATTATACCACCCCCCACCTAGGGAGGGGGGTGTATACTAGTCGCTTCTTCAGTGCATCTGTGTGGATGTCCATCTGTATGTAGAAAAAGCTTGTGATCAAGATATTAATCCTAGAACACTTTCAGTTTGTATTTACACCAAAGAATGGTAATATCAGGTGCTACACCTTATTAGATTTAGGTGGTCAAAGATCACTCTTAACCACTTTTAAAGTAAAAAGCTTGTATACGAGATGTCTCACAAACCCCTCACATTGATTTCATGTTTACACCATAGTATGGTTATATCGCGTTCTACCCCGATTAGATTTCAGTTTTAGTTGTTATCGACCAAATTAACTATTTGGATTATGGTGTAGTAGAAAGAATCTCCGATAATCAAATAATGAAAAAAAAAGCGTTGTGTTTAAATCTAAAATTTGTGTGTTCACATGTGGTATTTTCTTGTTTTATTTGTAGCAAGAAGGAAAACTTTGTCAGTTTGGTGAAATTTGTACATGGTGGAACCATCAACAGAAGGTAATAGTAACAATACCATAACAACGCTGTCGGACTTGTCTGTTCTTTCCACCGTCAGTCTGCTTGTCTGTCCTTTCCTCCATTGGTCTATCTATCTGTCCGACGGTCATGATCAGTACACAAACTTTTTCTTGATAATTTCTGTATAATGTAGTATTGCACTAGTTTTAAGGAAACTTTGCACGCACCTTACAGTCTCATAAATCTTTGCATACTACAACTGTGGTGGTTTTTCCTTTGGTATTAAGAGAGTTATGACCCTTGATTTATTTTGTCCGATTTGCTTCAGCTTACTTTTGATGGGTTTTTAGCTCACAGGATTGCTCATGTGAGCCATTGCCATCCGTCTTCATTCGTCCGGGTCTGTCGTCTTACAGATTTAGTTAATATTTACACCATACTATATTTACCTCTAGTTCTACACCTGATTGTTGGTCATTGGTTAAAGTTATAGGGTTAAAGGTCACCCATGGAAAGGTGAGTATTTGTGAGTCCCACCCACTTATATTTTATTTAGTTCGAAAACATAAGAAACATAAGCAAAGCCTATCATTGAGTACTAGTTTTCTGTCTGCAGTGTATGCTGTCGGTTCTGGAGCCATATATTACCAGCCGATGGTGTGATGACGGCTCTGTCCAGCATGGTGCCAAACTACCAAACTGACCTCATTCAAACCTGGGTCAGCAGCACAATATTTCTGCCAGCTCAATCTTCACACCTCATCACCATGAACAGGTTAGTTATGTAATTTCTTACTTGAGAAACGGTAAAATCCTTTATTTCTGTACCAGTAAAACCACATTTGGATTCAATATTTTGTATAAACAGAGGTTGTTGCGTACATTCTCTCCCCTCACCCCTGGGCAGATGTTGACAACTTTTAAAAACATTCCTCCTGCAGTATCATGATCAAAGTTTGTCTGATTGCCTGAAGCAGCCTTGGCCCGAGGAGACTCCACAATGTTTAAGTTGATGGCATGGCCCTCTAGGGGGAGATGGGGCAGGGCTGGTTATGGGAAGAAAATCTGGAGTCATACTCAGTACCAAAATGAAGCATCCTTGGGCTGAGGAAACTCAATGTTATATAAACAAAAGTGTCGCCAGTTTTACTTCAAATATCACTCTTAAACAGTTCAGAGACTAAAACCATTTTTGGTTTGAAAGATTAATAGGGCGAGGAGAACTTAATTTATATTATCACATTTGTTGGCTGCCTGAAGGGTCTCTTGATGTTACTTTATGACATTCTTTCCCACCAGGTGTATGCAGACTTTACCTGAAGTAAGAGACATGATGACCCAAGCTGGAATTGGCCAGAGTGAGGCTACAGAAAAGACAACATGTCTGCACTTCATCAAAGCTATAGACATAGTCTACAACAAGACAACGGTACAGTAACAGCACTAAGGCTCTCATACCTTGTTATCCCCTCACAAAGAGGTTGCAGAAGGAATATAATGTTAAGATTTATATTAAACAGATTTATGTCTGAATTCATATACTTGTTGCATATGCCTCAAATGCATGTGTTTTAGGGTGCCAAGAATTATTACTTTTGAACTAATTTTTATCAAACGTCATTGATGAATCCAGTATATAAATGCTTTTAGGAGTTTATATTCCATGACATGTTAAGATTTGCTTCATTTGTTCTTTGAAATGAGTACATAGAAAACATCCTTATCTTGTGATTTGATGTCCTGATGTTTCTACCAAAAATGTGGTTAAAATGCACTTTACTGAGGTCTATTCAAAATAATTTATAAAATAATGATTTTTTAATTATTTTTAGGTGTGGAAGGATAGAATACAACTGCGTGATAAGGCTATGAACTACTTTTCTAATATTCTGCGACAGTTGTCCCCAATATTACAGAGTCTGAAGCCAGCAGAGACTCTTGCCAATGCCTATGCAGTGATGGGATATATCATTAAATGTTGTGCACAGCTCCTCTTTGTCCAGGTGAGTTTGTACATAACTGGTAACGTTGTTATAGCAATATTTAGTTTGTAATTAGGTCATATACTTAATTGTTTTAATCAGCTTCATTTTAAAGATGAAGATCTTATGCATATCCAAAAGTGGGAGGGTTTTTTTATCTCTTCACTACTTGACAATTACTTCTGAACAGTTTTTGATAAAATTTCATCCTGTTCAGTATTATTGCGGTGACTTAATTGTATTTTGTATGTGACATGTTCTTGCTTTGCTCACTGTATTTCTCCTGAATGGAGCTTGAAAGTTTCATGGCAAAAAACATGAGCTATGCTGGAATTTTTCGTCTGGTAAACCCTCTTAAAGAAACTTAAATATTTATGTGTGGATTTGAAATTCATTATTAGATGATTAATTTGCCATTGGTATGTAACTGGTACATACTGTTTAATTGACCTTTGACCTTAGTGCAACATATGTAACATTGTTTTTCTTGAACATATCTCCCTCATTATTTCACCTATGATCATCACACTTGGTATGCTGGTACGTCTTAGGAAGGCAGAGTGTCAGATAAAGAAAATAGGTCACTGTGACCTACAATTTGACCTTTGACTTTAATTAAAAGTGTAAAATATTTGAGATACTGCTTGTTTGGAGCAAAACTCTACATCATTTCACCTGTGATCATCAAAGTTGTCCTGCTGGTATAATTTTGGTAGGTGGAATCTCAGATCAAAAATAGGTCACTGTGACCTATATTTTGACCTTTGACTTTAATTTAAAGTGCTAAGTATGTGAGATTCTGCTTGTCCGGAACATGTCTCTACATTTTCTCTTGTGATCATCAAATTTGGTATGCTGGTACTTATACTGTCTACATTAATAATTCTACCCATGGATTGGCAATGTATATAGAAGGAAACTCTTCAGATTATTCTTGTACTAACTGTGACAATCTACAACTCCTGACACGACATATAGACATCATCAAGTAACTCACTCTTGATGGCTGTTATAAACAGACCACCTACTCACAAATGTTACAAATATTTTTCAACTTCTTGGAACATCACTTTCAAGAAGCTACCAAACTTTATCCAATTATTCTTCGAGCTGACTTCATTTTGTTCCCAACCTCCTCACAACGATGTCCTTTATAAGTGTCAAAGATTTGGTCTGAATCAGACAGTAGATAGACTGACCCATCCATCAGCTAGGCAGAACATTGGATTTGATCCTTACCACAACCAGTCTATATATAAAGCTATGATTAATTACCTTGCCACTTTCATACACCAGCACTATGCTACAATTGTATCATTGTAAGGTGATATGCAGTGACCTGTTTACCATTCATGTTTTGCACTTTTAATTTATGTTAAAGATCAAAATGTAGGTCACAGTGACTTTCAATGTTCCCAAGATATATACCAGCATACCAACTAGTTAGATGATCCTGGGTGAGATAATGAGGAAGATCGCTATTTTACACCTCATTAGGGGTGTTATTATGATCATAACTTCCTGCATGTCTCTATGAATTGAGTCCATTGGTTAGCAGTGGGGGATATCGTCAACATTTTGCAGTCTTGATTTTTGTGTGGATTCTTTTAATCATTTTCTCTTTTCAACAAATTGAAATTTCTATTCACTTTTGCATTCTATTTCATCGAACATCTGATCACTGTCAATGTTATTTTCTTTCAAGCAAAACTGTCCATTTTTTTGTTTTTGAAATAATTGGAATGTTTTGATCATGGTATTGTTAAATTTGTATATTCATAGGCCAAGCCTGACTGCCCTCTACCCAACATCATCAGTGCAATGGTTGTACCTCACTTCCTGTTTAATTCCGACAAGGCTGTCAGTCCAGTCTTCCTGGCCGTAGTAAGGGACCACCTTCACTTGGTATGGTCAGATACGTTTATGTGTGTATACTTAACATTATATATGAATTAATGTCTGTATCCAAGAAAAAATCATTCATTTAGAAAAATCAAAGATGAAACAATCTTTTCGAAAAAAGGACAGGATTTAAACAAATTAATCAATTCATACCCTGGTATTTGTAATGATGAAATTATACATTCCATCAACAACAAAACGTATTAGTGAAAATCTTATGTTTTTGTGAAAAGAAATGTTATTGACTCTTTTAAAGTTATGAACACTTTCTCATTTGTGATATGTTGCATATAATGCATAATTATTGAAATCCTACAGGCTATTAGAGGTAAAATGAGGTTCTGGAAGGTGCAATTTTGTGATTTGTTCATCTACAGTTGATTTTGTAACCCTGTACATGTCCCCACTGCATATATATTCAAACAAACCTTTTGGATTCACCAACGATACAAGCTATTAATAAAAGTTCTTATTTATAAGTTTCATAAACAATAACGACAGTATGATCCAATATGGGCACTGGATCCAAACAAACAAGTATTTGCTGGACCAAAATTTACCAATCTCCCTCGAAACTCCCTGATTTTTGGTACTCGATTAGCTTAAAATTCCAAGTCACTTTTATGAGCTCTATAAATAGACACACATGCTGTTAATACCCAAGAAATATATAAAATGAATGCTGAAGGCATGTATTGTTTCAGTACAGTAAAAAATTTGGTCATTAAGAAACTTTATAGGAAGTATTTTACATGCACTGTTGATACCCAAGAAATACATGAAATGAAGGCTGAAGGCATGTATTGTTTCAGTACAGTAAAATATTTGATCTTTCAGAAACTTATAGGAAATATTAATATTTTTCTTAAAAAAGTGTTCCATTTTGAGTACCCTCACCCTAGGTTTCATAGGCTGACACCTATGTGTGCAGGTTTCAGAGGCTGACACCTATGTGTGCAGGTTTCAGAGGCTGACACATATGTGTGCAGGTTTCAGTGGCTGACACCTATGTGTGCAGGTTTCAGAGGCTGACACCTATGTGTGCAGTAAGTATTGTCTTTGTTTGGCTTTCTGCATCAAAAAACTAAAGTTTTAGATAGGTGTTTTTTTACTTAATATTTCTAGTGATAATATCAGATATTATTTTTCTTTTTCTATGCAGTTTGTGCGAGGGTTAGGGCGTCTGGATTACAAGAAAGCTCCTTACGTGCAGAGAAGGTTAAAAGACGTTGTCTCAATTTATATCCCAAAGTTTTGGGTAAGTATTTTTATCACATAGTGTACTGTGTTATCCAGTGAATGTATTGCAACTGGCAAAATGTAAACTCAACGAGGCTTTCGCTCTCTGCACCCCTGGAATATGTCACAGCAAAAGTGAAGGCACGCGGCTAGCTATTTGATTGGTATTAGGTAAAGAAACCTGACCAATTGCTAGGCTGTGATACCTGTCCTTTGAAGAGTGCAGAGGAGCAACACCCAACTTCGAAGCCAGTCAATTTTACCGTTGTGCGACCGACATATTGTTTTGATATACATCAAAGGATCAAACTAGTCTTTTTGTGACACACTTATTAAGCCTTCAAATTTGCTATGACATATTCTAACAGTACAGAGAGCGAAAGTGAGTGTATGCGTAACCCTCGAGTATTGAGGATGGGTCAATCACATGTGGAAGGATAATTTTTTACTTAAACAAAAGACTGATATCTTTGACCTATTTCCATCTGATTTATTCACAAATGACAAGTGCTATATACATGATATGAAATAAACGAGAACCACATCACTTTCTTCTGATGCTGAAAGTTTTAAAAAATGAAGCCATTTAACGAAATATATGATCATCTTGGACCCTAAGTGGTATTTAATGCAGTTTTTCACATTTTTGAAGATACATATAGTAGAAAAACAGATTTCCTATGATCAATAATATTATTGACAACTATGATCTATTGATTTTGTAATTTGCATTTTGTTGACATACTGTTGTGAATATCATCATTTAAATTCATTTTGATGATATGTCTTCAAGTTGGGTGTATGGTGTTGTGTAACACTGCTCTCTGTATCAGGGCAGTAGTGACAGAATCATACTGTTGTAGAGACATGGTAGTATAGTGGTAGGATGCCAGGCTCGTGACCGAAGGGTTGCGGGTTCGAGTCATGTCACGGCACTGTGTTGTATCTTTGAACAAGATACTTTACTCCTCTTGATCCAGTCTACTCAGCTGTAAATGTGTACGACTGGTTGGGCAGTGCTAGAATTGTTGAATGCTAGCAAGGAAATGACAGCACCAGATGTATGCTCCCCAGGGCCGGAGTTGAAAAAGATATTGGCTGGTGGCAAAGGCCCTATAACCACGGATAATAATTTGTGAATCGCTTTGAGACGACCTACGGACTAGGTTGTGATAAAGCGGTGTATAAGAACCTCAAATTATTATTATTATTATTAATGATTTTTAAAAAAGTTGCTTTATATTTGTAATCTTGTCCTAGCAAGGACATTTGAATGACGGGGACTTGTATAGTTTTGCAATATTTCATATTGTCTGTTGAAAATAACAACCATACTAGTATCCTTTGGCTACTTGATGACACTCAACATCATGTATTGCTGCACTTTAATATGTTTGCTATCCTTTGTTTCTGTAGACAAGCAGTAGTTCTCTGTCAGTAGGTACGGCTTCATCTGTACACCCACTGGTGGTAAGTATGACCATGTCTTTGTTTAAGTTTTACTGTCTTTTTATCATCAAAAACGTTTGCTAAAAGTTTAATATAATCTTTCCCCACTTTTTGAGAAAAATTAAAAATCTCAACCCTCGTGATAAGATTCTTAAACTCTTAAATGTCTAACCCAAAGCTATTAAGACAGAAAAATCTCACCCCTCGAGGAAAGATTTTTTTAAATCTGGCCCTCAGCTGCTGAGGAATCTTAAGAGGGTTGAGATTTTTCTGTCTTAATCCTAAAGTGGGGAATAATTATTTTTCGCCCACATCAAATAGAAGTGTTAATTTTATGAAAAGCATCCAGCAAATCGGTTGTCTCCCATGATCTGCTATTGTTGACTGTTGCATTGTTGAAAGGGAATTCCCCCTGTCTTTACCCAAGGGTAACAAAGAAATGTCTTTCCCTGGCCGGAAGTGTAGATACCTCTGTCTAATGGGGGAGAAATGACAGTGTGATATAGCAAACTCTTCATGATTATGTATTCCTGTCTCTGACATTAAAACGTCATGTTACAGACTATTATAGTGTTGTCTCATTGAAATGTAATATTTCAAATGTTGAAAGTGTTCTCTCACTAAAATGTCACAACTATTATAGTGTTTTCTATTTACAGACTAAACATTGCTGTCGACTGATATTTCATGTTTCAGGTTCTAGAATCTTCAACATCTCAATTAAATGTCATACTGACTAAACACAACCATTTTATGACACTTTGCTCATTAACAGGTATCCCTGAAGGAAAGTTGTGTGCGACAACCTACGGAAGTAGCCCTAGAGTTCAGGCAGTTCATATTAGAATCTGTAATGGAAAAGTTTCTGCTTCCCTCCCAGTTTACACTACCACCAAACCACCACTTGGTACGTACGGCTACATAAGACTGTAGGGGCCAAAATGGCCATGTGGTCAAGGCATCTGATCATCTATGATCACCACCAGTGGGTCGCAGGTTCAAGGCCAATGTGGGGCAGTTGCTAGGTATCTGCCTCAGGTCGGTGTTTTTTCTCCAGGTGCTCCGGTTTTCCTCCACCTCCAAACCTGGCTTTTTCTTAAATGATCATAACTGTTAATAGGACATAGTACCAAGACAAATGTAGACTGTAATAAACAGAGAAACCTTGATAGATCAAATTTAAAAGGCTGGATTTATATTTCCATGATTGTACATCATCAAAATTAAATTGAAAGAGTTTCAAGAGGGGACCTGTCCTGAGAGATCACTGTTTACTGTCGGATACATTACAATAGCTTCTTATGCATTGTTAAAACAAAAATATTCTTTCGAAAAAACCCCAGAGATTTTGATTAATTTTCTCGCCGCCACGAAGTAGCCGAAGCGAGACTTAGGTGTTGTGTTTCCGGCAATGGCACCATGAAGTTTTTGCGTTTAAGTTACTTTCTCTAAAACTATAACTGCTAGACCAACCAAACTTGACATGTGCATTGATAGTCAAAGCGGTGCACAGGCGAGACATATATATCCGAATGGCTTGTATTTATTTAACAAACACTTAAAATGTAAGAAAATGTATCATGATTTGACAGTGATATCTTTCATATCGTTCTCCAGGCACGTTTCTCTTACTGACTTCATGCAACCTTTACATTTTTTGCGGACAAAACAAAATGTAGAAACTTGCAATCTCCAGCTCAGTGTTAAATAAAATTCTAATTTGTATTTTCATTGTTAAAGCTTGTACATATCAATCTGTTGTCTGACAGAATTTATTCTATTCCTCTGTGTTTAGGCTTTGATGTTCCTGAAGGAGATAATTGGTAGGACTTACTGTAAGGATGTAGCAGCAAGGTGAGTCGTTGTGTACTGGTGTCATGTGAGATTTGTATCCCCCATAGGATAAGTACCCGGATACTAAAACAGGCCATAGGATAAGTATCCAGGTACAATTAATTGTTCCAGTCTACTCAGCTGTAAATGAGTATGTGGTTGGGCAGTGCTAGAATTGTTGAATGCTAGCTGTGAGTACCGAAATGACAGCACTGGCTGTATTCTCCCCAGGGAGTTGAAAAAGGTATTGGCTGGTTGCAAAGGCCCTAGAACCACGGATAATAAAACTTCAAATTATTATTTATTGTTATTAATAAATGGCGATAGGATAAGTATCCCCCCGTAGGAATTGTATTCCCCCTTAATTTTATCATGATATCAATGGGAAAATTAGAAGAAAAATAGTTCATTTGAAGGGGGATACTTATCTTATATGACACTGGTATTACATATCTTAACTGAAGCTCAGGGTATATAGGGATCTCACCTAATTCATGATTATGTACGTACGTGCATAAGTGCATGTCCCAAATCGCATCACTAATCTACAGATTTCGTTTCTTTTCCAGTTGCAAAGAAACTTTACACACAAGTTCACAAACATCACCTCTTACAGTACAAGTTTCTATTTCAACATGCTGCGGTCAAAAGCTAGGTCGCTGTTACTATAAATAGAACCTGATAGAATTTTAATGTCACTGCTCTACAGACTTCACTTCTTTACCAATTGCCATAAAACTTCACGCACATAAACTCAGACAATCATCACCTATTGTACAAATTTCAACCAGCTGTGGACAAAAAATAAGATACAGTTACTATAAATAGAGTTGGATAGAAGTTGCCCTACACATCGATATCTTCATTAGAAGTTCAATGCATAAATTTTCATGTGCCATATCATTTTGTTTTGATTCATTAATATGTGGTATGTTTTACTTTAATTGAAAGCTGTAGACGCATTAAATAAATTCTGTTGTCTTGCTGTGAACCAGTAGAAATGTTATTAAGGTAACTGAACAGATGGCAGATTTGACTGTTTGAATGACAGGCACATGCTAATCTTAAACACAGTGAGTACCATAATTTCTTGCTCCATTATCATGGATTTTGAATTCTTTCGTTAACTTTTTAAAGCAGATAATGAGAACAATATCCATTGCTTCCACAATGATATTCCTAAAATCAAAGCATTAATAAGATAAATGTAAATGTGTACAAACATTACGTGCTTTACGACTGAATTCAGAGCGAAATAAAGACTAGCAGCCGAAGACAAATACAGGTCAATCGTAGGGCACTACCCAAATTAAGCAAGTGTTTTAGCTGCATATTTCAATGAAATAAACAAATAAAAGACAATAATTTCACTGTTGACTAAAAAAAAAAAAGATGTGTCTATTACAAATAACTTTGTTAAGCAATCTTCTTTGTAAAACCATATCACTTGGTCATTTAAATATGTTCCCTTCTGTGTTTTGACAGCTGAAAAGTTCAGAAAAACATGTTTTTTCTTTTGTTCTGGTAAATATCATGTTTTCCTCTGGCAAATTAGAAGTGATATTAAGTGAAATCTACTGTATTTTTAACAGGGATACATTAACTGTCCTAGGTGGTGTGCTTACTGTGATGTTAACTTTTGAAGCAGATAATCAGAACTATATCCATTGCTTGGTATACTATATTTTACAGGGATACATTGACTGTCCTAGGTGGTGTGCTTACTGTGATGTTAACTTTTTAAGCAGATAATCAGGACTTTATCCATTGCTTGGTATACTATATTTTACAGGGATACATTGACTGTCCTAGGTGGTGTGCTTACTGTGATGTTAACTTTTTAAGCAGATAATCAGAACTATATCCATTGCTTCGTATACTATTTTTTACAGGGATACACCGACTGTCCTAGGCGATGTTGAAATTTTCACGCTGGCAGTAGTTCTGAAATCTTCACTAATCTTTATTAAGTAATTTAGTCATGTAATTGAGATATTAACTTTCTTTTAAAACAGGTAATCAGAATAATATCCATTGTTACTATTCTTAACAGGGATACAACGACTGTCCTAGGTGGTGTGCTCACTGTAATGGTGTTATCCGATGTACAGTCCACATACCAGTGTGCCCAGAAGATAGCCACCAATCTCCTCGAAGGCTGCAAAGTTTCGGCTACAACCACATTGTAAGTGTCTATTTATCGTCTAAAAACTTTGTGAGGTTGTACTACTTGGTTAGAAGTGTTCTTGGCTACAGCCACATCATAAGTGTATATTTATCGTCTAAAAACTTTGTGAGGTTGTACTACTTGGTTAGAAGTATTCTTGGCTTCAACCACATCGTAAGTGTCTATTTATCGTCTAAAAACTTTGTGGTACTACTCGGTTGGAGGCGAACATTCAGACAAAGGTTAATGTCCTTTATATTTAGTTCCTCCTCTTCGCCAGTGGTATCATTGGCCAGTATCTTTCAAAACTAGTTCCTTGAATCAGATTGGCTGATTTCTGCTCTATAATTTTGATATTTCTAACTTTTTCATCCCAAAATATCATGAGGATGTAGTATTTGTAATAAATAAGCACTAACACTTCTTTATATGATTTTATTAAGGGATAGTCGTATTCCTCAAGGTAAAATTTGCATATTCTGACATACTGACATATACCTTATTTGAAATTATAACGCACCCGACACCCCCAGGGATTTTTTAAAATTGCTTATTTTTTTTAATTTCATTATTTCTGGAACATTTCAGCTGTATTTCAATTTTTCAATTGTCTGACAAATTTCGTATCAAAACTGATACTGTACCCAAGTACTTGTATTGAAAAATTGGGGAACAATTTCAAGATTAAATATTTGGTGTGGGGATGGGTTGGGCATTTTTGTGTGTTTTGTTATAATTTTTTGGTATATGCTATTAAAGTTGGTTTCCAAAGTATTTGTATTTAAAGGTGAACTATTCATTTCATGAGATCACAACACAAGTTCACAAGTTTATTGTATAAAGCATCATATTATCCACATGCTGAAAATCAGTTGCTTGTTACAGAAATAGCTCTACCAAGCTAATATTTGTATGTTTCTGGTATGTGACCGTCAATATCTATTCTTGTATCTTGTACCAACATCTAAAAGTACAAACTGATGTGTATTTCATTATGCAAGATGATAATTATGTTTTAGAAGTATAAAATGAAAATACAGCATACATGCTTTGTTGATTTTTGTCGGCATGATCGCAAAAGACTCTGGGAGATATTGAGAAGTTTTTTAATAGCCTTTTTAGAATATGTTAAGCCTACCTTCAGGAAACAGCACATTCATATAGGCCATACATGTCTAACACAGTCTATATGCTAGTGAATAATTTCCAAGATGGTAGCCAGCCAAATTTTAAACAAGTATTAAACAAGTGTAACATGTGACAATGATTTTAGGATTGTTTGAAATATAAAAAGAAATAAAAAAAAGCCACTGGGAGAAACATGACAGATTGATTTATATATAATGTTCTATTTTTGTTACAGAACCGATGTGGCCGCAACACTGGAAGCATTCATAACCGTCCACAAGAAGACCCACCTTGACCACTGTATCCAGGCATTGGACAAGGTGTCGAAATCAGGGGGCATCTTTATAAGGAACATTCTTCCCAAAATACAGCACTACATTGTGGAGCACGAGTCTCACAGAGGAGTCGGGTCCGATTCCAAGCTCAGGTATGACCCTTCTAACGTAGTCTCACAGAGGAGTCGCGTCCGATTCCAAGCTCAGGTATGACACTTTTAACGTAGTCTCACAGAGGAGTCGGGTCTGATTCCAAGCTCAGGTATGACCCTTCTAATGTAGTCTCACAGAGGAGTCGCGTCCGATTCCAAGCTCAGGTATGACCCTTCTAACGTAGTCTCACAGAGGAGTTGGGTGCGATTTCAAGCTCAGGTATGACCCATCTAACGTAGTCTCACAGAGGAGTCGGGTCCGATTCCAAGCTCAGGTATGACCCATCTAACGTAGTCTCACACAGGACTCGGGTCCGATTCCAAGCTCAGGTATGACCCTTCAAACGTAGTCTCACAGAGGAGTCGGGTCTGATTTCAAGCTCAGGTATGACCCTTCTAACGTAGTCTCACAGAGGAGTTGGGTCCGATTCCAAGCTCAGGCATGACCCTTCTAACGTAGTCTCACAGAGGAGTCGGGTCCGATTCCAAGCTCAGGTATGACCCTTCTAACGTAGTGTTTCAGAGGAGGAGGATTTGACTATGAAATAAAAGTATGACAATGTTAATAAAATCTTGATGAAAGGGACTATGGAGAGTATGATATGGCACTGTTTAGGCATAGACACAAAATCCAAACTCAGGTATGCTATATTATTAGAACCTCATTGAGGAGTAGGGGGACTCAATCCAAAATCAGGTATGACATTGTTTATAGAATCTCGTTTAGGAGTAGGACTCTCAATAAACTCAGGTAGGACATTGTTGATAGAATCTCGTTTAGGAGTAGGACTAATTATGTTGAAAACAGAGAATCGTAGGAATTCTTTATTTTCTAATTTTAGAAGGTGTGATGCATTTGAATTGAATCATGTTAGCCTTTAACTAAATATAACGTGTAATTAACAATTATGGTGTTTAATTATAAAATAGTATTGATAATAAAACATTTGGAGAACAATCGTGTCATTCTGATGTATTTCTAGTTTCAATTATGTTTGTTTTTTTGCAGACAGAACTACACCAACCTATCAAGAAATGTTAGCTGTAAGCCACCAGGTGATACTTGACAGGGGCCGCTTGTCAGAACATATGAACTATTTACGTACTGTAAATGCCAATACTTTATAACTAACTTGAATGCATGTATAAGGTAACAGGCTATATTCCGTCTTTGCATATTGCAGAGTTATCTTCTCTTGGGAGCAGGTATTGATTGTTATGTCATTGGTTTGTGTGAGAAAATTACGTCGTTTTCTCAAATATTGATGATGTTCCTCTCACAAACAAGTGACCTAACAATCAATCCCTGCTCCCAAGAGAAGATAACTCTGCAATGCGCAAAGACGGAATAGAGGTTCCACTCGTGGGCCATAAATACTTACGTTTAACTAATACCTGCTGTTTCATGAATGTCTTTGGAATTGATTTATAAATTAATACATGGAAAATGCTACCGCGGTGTTACTGGTTTTATGAAGTTATGGAAAGATGTTTCAAATCGATCAGAAACTGAGTAAATCCTTTGAAAATATACCCCCAACAGTGTACATACTAAGAACTGCAAATGTGTGGAAATAACTTGCTGGAAAATGAAGTTTGGGCTAATAATTTAAACTGTTTCAAAATGAGCTGGATAAACACTGGGAAAACATTTATTTATTTTATAACTTCAACGCTAATTTATGAACGGTAGTGTCATTGCAATCAAAAACTTTTTTATTATAACAATTATCATGTAATAAATTAGGTCTGGTGTGGAGGGTATGAAATCCTATACCAGAAATCTATCATTAAATATCATTAAATTAATTGTCATTTTGCGATAGAATTAATACGTTCTGAAAGCAATTTATAGAAATAGTGTTTACAGTGCATATTCCACAAAAGCAGTTCCTTCCGAATAACCACAAATATTATCTGCCGCCAAAATGATGCGAATACAGTAGTCTGTCTCAAGCCAAAGGCATAGCAATGGTACCTTCATCCTGGATACTCCAGGGGTTACATCTCATATGTTTATCTGGAAATTTAAAGCTGGTGCTCATTTACGTTATAGGAATGTGATCTCGTGTCGTGTTATATATTGTCTGTTGAGAATGTTATGCGCTATTCAGTAAAAGCGATAAAAGGACATCGATTCAGAGATAATGAAATTATTGTGATATTGTTTGTTTATATTATTTTACATCATAGATACAACTTGTTTTACATAAAAATAAAATAAATCTTGAGAAACAAAGCATCCTGACTGCCTTGACTGTTATCTAGTTATAACATTCTTATGTTGTTTCTTGTTATTGGTCTGTTTTCATCCCTCGCTCAACAAGTTGGTGGGGGATATAGAAATGGGGTCCGTCCATGCACATTGTTAAGAAGAATTGCTCTCGTCTATATCTTGCCTACTACAAGTGCTATGTTTAATATATTTGCTTAAATTGTGTATCTGCTGAATGCATATTGCGGATGCTGATTTTGACCTATATTTTATGCTTCATCTTTTTAGCCCACCTACTTTTGATATTGAAAGTTTGTTATCGCTATTTCTCGGGAAGTATCAGAGGGATTTTTCTCAAATTTTATATGTAGGTTCCCCTTGGTCCTTAGCTGTGCAGGGCTTTTTTATGAGACTGATCGGATAAAAAACAAGGCCGACAGGCAGCCATCTTTGATTTTGATATTGAAAGTTTGTTATCGCTATTTCTCAGGAAGTATCAGAGGGATCTTTCTCAAATTTTATATGTAGGTTCCCCTTGGTCCTGAGCTGTGCAGGGCAATTTTTGAGACTGATCGGATAAACAACATGGCCGACAGGCAGCCCTCTTGGATTTTGATAGTGCGGGTTTGTTACCTCTATTTCTCCTGAAGAACTAGAGGGATCTTTCTTAAATTTTATATGTAGGTTCCCCTTGGTCCTGAGCTGTGCAGGGCAATTTTTGAGACTGATCATAAAAACAAAATGGATGAAAAGAACTAAAAAGATCTTTCTCATATTGCATTGATCGATTCTACTGGTTTGATATTAAGTACTGTACTAGTAAATATGTGAAATGACAAACTCACGTTGAAGGTTGGCTTTCATCCACATCAGTATTAAGTTTAGATCAAAAGTTACCTCTAGGCGCATTTACTGCTAACATGACTCGTTCAAACAGATTAGAGGAAAGAAGAGAAAAGACCGAACTGACAAAGAACTAATAAAGATGGTACAAAGGTGGGCGCCTAGATCCCTCTGGGATCTCTTGTTAATGACTTTTGCACTGCGAGCGTGGGATATCGATGACGATCTCTTCTTGTTATTATTCCTGTGGGCTTATGCCATAGCGCAGCATCCATCCGGCTGTGGTCTATTGTCATTTTTCCTTTAAAAGACTTGTCCATAATGTCGAAAATGAATTTTGAATACATTCGGTGTTATTATGGTTAAATTTTTACTCCTCCAGTACAGTTAAATGAATCTTAATGTAGTTCGGCAATGATCATCACAAAGGAACGCAGTTTGGCTAAAATACAAGGTGTGGCCCTCCTGAAGCTTTTGTAATCCAAGGTGGCTACAGTTGTCTCCGAATAGTAGAGAGATTCACCCTCTCAGCTTAACCTGGCAAATAGTTCAGGTCAATTCAAAATCCAGAGGGACTGTGCTGTCCTCTGATTTGATGTGCTACTTGTTCAAAGCTCACTCTAGCCCATTACTCTCTCCTCCTCTGCCAGTTAATAATACTTTCCTTAGCTCATCACATTGTTCTTCCTATGGATCTTTCAACTCCACTTCACGAATTTCTAAAACTGACACATCTACATTTCAGATGACTAATACACTGCAGTGTTTGCTTTTGATGAGTGCTATTGTGAACAGACATACGTATTTATGCCAGTTTCAGCCTAATTTCAAAGGTTTTTTTTACATCAATCAGAACTCCATTTTGGTGTAAGGTTGTCTTTCCGCCTAAAAAAGTGTACGAAGTCCGTTCTAGTGTAAAGTTGCTTCCCTCCTCCTAAACGTATAAAATCAGTTCAAGTGTGAAGTTGCTTCCCTCCTCCTAAATGTATAACATCCGTTCAGGTGTAAAGTTGGTTTCCTCCTCCTAAACGTAAGTGTAAAGTTGCTTCCCTCCTCCTAAACGTATAAAATCAGTTCAAGTGTGAAGTTGCTTCCCTCCTCCTAAACGTATAAAATCAGTTCTGGTGTAGAGTTTCCTTCCCTCCTCCTAAACGTATAAAATCCCTTCTGGTGTAAAGTTTGTTTCCCTCCTAAATGTATAACATCCGTTCAAGTGTAAAGTTGCTTCCCTCCTAAACGTATAAAATCCGTTCTGGTGTAAAGTTGCCTTCCCTCCTCCTAAACGTATAAAACCTGTTCAAGTGTAAAGTTGCTTCCCTCCTCCTAAACGTATAAAACCTGTTCTGGTGTAAATTTGCTTTCCTCCTCCTAAACGTATAAAATCCGTTCTGGTGTTGAGTTGCCCTCCCTCCTCTTAAATGCATAAAATTCGTTCTGGTGTAAAAATTGCCTTCTCATCTTCCCAGCTGTACCTAGTGCGTTCTGGTGTAGAGTTGCCTTCCCTCCTCCAAAATGTTCAAAGTTGATGGATATACGACATTATCTTTCTTCTCTTTTCGATCTTTTTCCACATCAAAATGTTTTCTCAACACGTTGTTGAATGCCGTGCTATTATCCTCTAATAAGAGCGATGGAACACGGACAAGGCTGCAAGACCTATCGCAAAGAAAAAACTCAGTTCTTCAGTCAATTCTCATTTGTTGATGTTTGTTGACGACGTTAGCAAGAAAACTACTGACCTCAGGAGGAACTGAATCTGATATGGTTATAATTGCCAGATGTCGTACAAAGTTAGTCTTCTCGGTGTAGTTTTCCTCCTGGTCCATGTTCCCTGGCACATCCATCTTTACCAATTAAGCTTTTCTGATCTCATTCTCCATTCAATACCGCCTTGTACCATACTCCTTTTGACTTGGTCATTGTCATTTGTCTCAACAAAGAGACCATTATCACAATGTTACTTTGTCTTGGACGGCTGACTGCACACTTTCATTGGAATATCATCACCAGCTGTCTAACCTACAGTTACATGAACTCGACTAATGAAGAAATCGGTATCTAAACTGAAGCTGATTTGTTGTCTAGGCCAGTGTTTGTGAGGCTTGGAGGGTACCCTTATCCATCTACGTAGGGTTCCACTGGTTGTCATCTCCAGAGCTTCTGCTATTGTCATGTAAACCTCGTATGACACGAAGCAGAATTCTATACTGGTAGAACCATGCATTGATAGTCCATGGTGGTCTGATCTTTTTCATCATCCTCAATCCTTGAACTTGGGCCTGACTGAGTTTTCATTGATGAAACTATATACAAATGTTTGCTTTTTGCATTGTGAAAATAATTAAGTAATGCAATATTTCTCTCTCCGCTCGTACGTCAATCTCGGGAACAAATGTTTTGATTTATACATAGTTATATCCCAAATTTGAGCAGCGGATTAGGCACAAGTTACATCAACTTATCAACGCTTTTTCCTCAAAAAGTAATATAGTAGATATCGATATTTACATGATAGCATTTAACAAGGCATACATAATGTATTTTACAATTATTATATTTTACTTAAAACATGTTGCTGGATTTGATACCAAGCACAGTATTCCATCCGGTCACATTATACTGACAACGGGGAAACCAGTTGTTGCGATTACTTTAACTGCTGAACGTAAGACAGGGTATGCCAACTACCATTTTGTAAGGTCTTCGGTGTGTCCCGGCTTGGGGGCAGAACCCATATTGCCACTTCGGTGGATGCTCAACATTGAGGTCAAAAATGAAGTATTGTTAAGCAAAGCAATAGGAAACAAAATTGTTTTAGGAAGTAGAGATAATATATAAAAAAAACTTCATGTTGCAAAGCGGGTACAATGTAGCAGATCAACTTTAGGTTTTTTCGAAGTCCCCTTATAACAGAAGACAATAGAGAACCCCCGATTCTGCAGGGGGACCCGAATTAAACGCCTTTTACGGCATGCAGTGAGCTGCAGCAGGCCTACCCTTTCACTGAACCTGCATTACTCTCAATTCATTAATATCTTCAGATTTCAGCAAGCTGAAAACAAGAAGTTCATAACCGAACTCAACACACAAAGTGCTCTACCACGGAATCATCTAGACTCACTACAACAAATAGAGGCCGTGGAAGTGCCACCAGT